GGAAGTGAGCGAGCTGGAGAAGGACTCCTGAAAAGAGGAATAAAAGTTTCAAACGTCAGAAATATAACTTTAGAATCTCTTCCACTAAATCGTCCCATTTCTGCCGAGAAGAAAAAAGATGTTGAGAAACTCTTGAAACTATTATATGGCAATGGATGGCAGAGTGAGCCTGATTTTGAATGGTACAGGAAAATATTATTCGATGAACAAGACGGGAATGAAGAGGAAGATGAAGTGTGTGACTGTTTGGATGAAGATATTGGAATGAGAATTTAAATTGTTGAGTATGTATTATTATTGTGTTTTATGTTACCATATTTTTTAATTTCTTAATTTGTGTGTTGCGTTATTTCAAAATTTTTCAAATTCTTGAATTGCACCAATAAACCCCATTGACTTTGTGTTATTCGTTTGTTGTATTACTTAAATCATTCAAAAAGTGTTTTATCCTTGTGAGACTCAATCAAAACATGTTTTCTCCTTAGTATTCTGTCAAAATGTGTTTTCTCCAAAAAAATAAATGCATTTTTTTCATTTGTTTTCAAACAAATATCTAAAATAATGTATCAGAATACTCCTCAGAGCTATTAAGAACAATAGAAAACTTTGATTCATGACAGTTCTTTAAATTTTTATCAGTTTTTTGCGTTTCCTGTAAACTCTCATCTAAAGGAGAAAGCACGGTTTGAACGTTTGCTTCTCATATATGGGCAATATATATATATATATATATATATATATATATATATATATATATATATATATATATATATATATATATATATATATATATATATACATGGGCAATATATATATATATATATATATATATATATATATATATATATATATATATATATATATATATATATATATATATATATATCCTTATAGTGTAGTTGAAAGAGTCTTTTAATGTAAAAAAAGTCTCTTTCGATTACATTTTTAATTACCTCGTCTCTTAAGCTGTATTTGATTGTCGTCGAAATGTCAAAGCAATTAAATTAATGCGAAAGTACATTAAATTTTATTGTTTTTTAAAAATATTTTAAAAAACCGCAATAATAACGACTAGAAAGTTTTTTTTAATTAGTGGTGTTTTTGTTTTTGTTTTATAAAAAAACATTTTAAAAACATGCGTAAATGTTGCTACATCGACTATCTTATAGCCTGACCCGCAACAGAGTGCTGCTACATCGACTGACAAATAGCCTGACTCGCAACGGAGTGCTGCTACATCGACTGACAAATAGCCTGACTCGCAAGGGAGTGCTGCTACATCGACTGAGGGTTTGGTTTGGGCAGGCAGTCTATCATTTAAAAAAAAAAAAAAAATTAAGTTTTTAAATTTTTTCTGGTCTGGTTTATAAACGCGCTCTTTAAAACTTCAGTTTATGGGAAACTCTTTTTCACTACCATGCAAGAGTATATATATATATATATATATATATATATATATATATATATATATATATATATATATATATATATATATATATATATATATATATATATATATATATATATATATATATATATATTAGGGTGATTCATATTTGACGAATTTTCGAAAATCAAGTTGGTCCTACCTGGAATGGTTGACCACCAATATTAAAAAAATTTTTAACCCCAAAATTTATGTCCTGTGATTTTAAAGATCCCTGCCGGTCAAATTTGTGTACAAAAACGTATCAAACTTTAGGGGTCTGGACCTTTAAAATCAACTCAGAAAGCCAAATTTTTTTTTATATGGTATATTTTGGACTATTTATTTATAATAGGGTAGGACCATGAAATATGGTGGTATTTAAGGTGATTTTCCACTCATCCGTTTTTCTACGGGAAAGGGAAAGGGAACGGGAAAATAATCACGTGAGCATGCGCAGTTTCCTTCGGACAAATAAAAACTTTTATTACGCATGCTCGCGTGATTATTTTTCTGTTCCCTTTACTTTTCCCATAGAAAAATGAGTGGAAACTCACCTTCGAGGATGAGTGAAAACTCACCTTTATTCTACATAGTGTGGAGAAAGTGACGAAAAAAAACAAATTTTTACATAAAATGACGCACCACTATGTATAACTGACGCTTGTTTATTCTTCATATTTAGGCCGAATTTTGAAAATTAATGCTAGGCATTAATAATGTTTATATAGAAGAGGCATGTCAATAGCTATCCGCCTTCCTCACCCTATTTTCAGAGATGTCTCCCCCCTCCCCTCATCCTTTATTTGTTGGAGACAGGGGGCGGGGGGGAGAGCATGCAAATTTATTTAAATTTTATTGTAAATCATATTATTTAAAATCACTTTATTTTCTTTAGAAAAAAAGACAATATAAATATTAATTTATGATAACATTTTGATTCCTGAATATTTTGGAATTTTTATTAGTTTCCGTGGTAATTTTATAAACTTACACTTTTATTACGCATGCTCACGTGATTATTTTTCCGTTCCCTTTTCTTTTCCCATAGAAAAATGAGTGGAAACTCACCTTTGAGGATGAGTGGAAACTCACCTTTATTCTACATAGTGTGGAGAAAGTGACGAAAAAAAACAAATTTTTACATAAAATGACGCACCACTATGTATAACTGACGCTTGTTTATTCTTCATATTTAGGCAGAATTTTGAAAATTAATGCTAAGCATTAATAATGTTTATATAGAAGGGGCATGTCAATAGCTATCCGCCTTCCTCACCCTATTTTCAGAGATGTCTCCCCCCTTCCCCCCATCCTTTATTCGTTGGAGATGGGGGGGGGGGGGGGAGAGCATGCAAATTTATTTAAATTTTATTGTAAATCATATTATTTAAAATCACTTTATTTTCTTTAGAAAAAAAGACAATATAAATATTAAATTATGATAACATTTTGATTCCTGAATATTTTGGAATTTTTATTAGTTTCCGTGGTAATTTTATAAACTTACAAATTGTCGTATTTGCGGAAGACATATTGTCGTAATTTTAAATTCTCTGCTCTGTGTTCTGTGTATCTGGTGTATCCATAACATTCTATAAAAGGTATACTATCTGCGGTTATATACAAAATTGTTATTGTAAAATACATGTCATTTAATCAAAGAATGAATATCAATTGTTTTCTTTAATCAAATTACTGTTTAGAAACCAAGATGCCAAGATCGACAAGACTTAAAACAAAAGGCTTATCTTTTTGAAGAAGAGGATCTTAAAGAAAAACCTACCAACCTACCAACCTACTAGAGAGACAATATTCTCTACTTTCAGTTTAGAAGATCTGGAGACAAAATAACTCCAACAAAAAAGCTGATTGCTTGTACCATTGTTCATCAAACAGCAAAGTGTTCTGGTCTTGGTAGCTGTCCTGAAAACTGCATTATGTTTGCAGTTAAGAAACCTTGGATAGAGGGAGGATACGAGGATGGGATACTCACTGACCCATTTATAAGGTAGGTTAAACAAAATTTAATTCATATTTAAGGGACAGGTTACCATAAAATACACTACAAAAATTTTGGATAATATAATATTTTCTAAACAGGAAGGAATCACTGATATGATCAACAGCTGGGAGAGTTTAAAGAAAATTAAGTGTAAGAACTCGAAAGAAGCAGGAAAAGCCAGACAAGATTTCAAAAAAAAAGGAAATAAGGTTTTCTGGATTGCTAAAGATATTCTAAAGAAGACTAGCCTTAATAAGGACTCCTATTGTACTGATATGAAATTTTTGAGAGATCTAAAGGCCAGACGTAAAATGACTCTGGGTAAAAAAGACGAGATATATAACCGGAGAATTGAGAAGAGAGAACAGAGAAGATTGAAACATCCACAGTTAGTACATAGTGTTGAACAGTTTTCTCAGAGAGATGATTTGACTACAGAGCTTCAGTTTTCTTTTGAAACTAGTGATACAAGTACCAGCATGGACTCAGATTGTTCTTTTGATTTCAAACAGCCAGGTCCAAGTAATGATATGCCGCAGTTAGCCAAGAATTTTGTACAAGATATTGCCATGACTTCAGTTTCCAAAAATATTTCCTCCAGAGATTTGTTGCATGTTTGTACAGATTTGGTTGTTAGTTCAGGTGGAAATGTTGAAGAATTTTTACTGTCTCAATCAACTATTTGGCGAGCACAAAAGAAAAGTATTTATCAAAATGCTTCACAGCACAGGGAGGTTAAAAAAGCTGCAGAGAAAGCACTTTCCCCCATAATAGCTCACTTTGATGGAAAAGTTATAGAAGATTTCACTAATGGGAAAAAAGAAAAAAGACAGGTTTGCTGTTTTAGCTAATATTGATGGTTATTTTATACATTAAGCTTCTTGGAATCCCAGCTATGGAGTATAGAACTGGAGCTGCTCAGTATGAAGCTTTGAATAATGAACTGGAAGATTATGGAATATGTGACAATGTGAAGGGATTATGTTTTGACACAACTGTGTCAAATACTGGAAGACATTCAGGAACCAATATTAGGTTCAGTCAAAGACAAGAATCTATTTTGTTAGAGCTTGCCTGCAGGAGGCATATAAATGAGCTTCATCTTAAACATTTCTGGGAGCAAATTACCTCAGACAAAACAGCAGCTCCAGAAGATTTAATGTTTAAACGGTTTCAGACAAACTGGAATGGCATCAAGGAAGCTGTTGATCCTTCTAATTTAATATGGTTTGATATCAATTCCATTAGTAAAACTTTCTTGGCTACCCAGATTGAGGAAACTATCCAGTTTTGCAAGGATGCATTAAACACTGACATATTTCACAGAGGGGATTATAGGGTGTTATTGGAACTTACCCTGATGTATCTGCATCCTGAAATATTTTTTAAAGTTCGAGCTCCAGGCTGTGTTTCTCATGCTTGGTTAATGTCAAAAGCCATTAACTACTTGAAGATATTTAGTACACATCTGCCCTATGATTTGACTGTTTCCCAAAAGAAAGAGTTAAAGGCAATGGCAGAATTTATCTCAATTTTCTATTCTGTCTGGTTTCTGAGAACCTCATTACCCTCTGCTGCACCATTTCAGGATGTAAAATCTTATTGGCAAATGGTGCAGTACAAAGAACATGTAGAGAAACACGACGCTGTTTCCAAGAGAGTTCTAAACGGAATTAAAAGCACAATGATGTCAATGAAGAGACACACCTCCGTGGGTCAGGAACCAAGGAACAGTTGCAGCTAGCCTATGAAGCAATATGCAAGAAGAGAAAAAAAATAACATGATTTATATATTGTATTTAATCATTGCATTATATTTTATTACATTTACATATCACGATTTTAATATTTATATTGCCAAGTGAAGTATTTTTTTTTAAAGAAAATCAAGTGATTTTAAATAATATGATTTACAATAAAACTTAAATAAATTTTCTTGCCCCCCCCGTCTCTAACGAATAAAAGATGGGGGGGGGGGGAGACATCTCCAAAAATAGGGTGAGGAGGGCAGATAGCTATTGACATGCCCCTTCTATATAAACATTATTAATGCTTAGTCCTAACATTAATTTTCAAAATTCGTCCTAAATATGAATAAACAAGAGTCAGTGGTGCGTCATTTTATGTAAAAATTTGTTTTTTTTGTCTCTTTCTCCACACTATGTGGAATAATTACCATCATATTTCATTTTGGTCCTACCCTATTTTAAATAAATAGTCCAAAATATACCATATAAAAGAAAATTCGGCTTTTTGAGTTGATTTTAAAGGTCCAGACCTCTAAAGTTTGATACGTTTTTGTACACAAATTTGACCAGGGGGGACCTTTAAAGTCATGTGACACTAAAATTTTTGGACTTAAAATTATTTTTATATTGGTGGTATCAACCATTCCAGGTAGGACCAACTTGATTTTTGAAAATTCGACAAATATGAATCACCCTAATATATATATATATATATATATATATATATATATATATATATATATATATATATATATATATATATATATATATATATATAAATTATAAATAAAATAAAAAAGAAATAAAGTTTAAAACTAAACCAAAAATAAATTAGTTATAATAAATATATATTAGTTTCAGGGCCGTCTCGAAGAGATTTTTATGTGGGGGTGATGTATCTGTTTTTTGCCTCAGGACGGCCCTGACTAGCTGACGGCCCGGCCAAAACTAAAAAATGAATTTCAATTACCTTGACTTGGAGAGTAAACAATGTGAGGACAAGGTTGTGAATGGTAATCGTTATCTGAAAATAAAACCAAACAACAACTAAGTGGTAAACTAAACACACTAACCAATATATTTAGTTAACATTTATGTAGACTAAGAGCAATGCATAAAACAAACAGAAACTTGTTTATAAAAAAAAAAAAAAAAAAAACAAACAAAACAATATAGAAAAAAAATACTTCTAAGATTAATGTCCACCAGTTTGCTTTGTTCGAGCAAGTCTAATTTTTAACAAAAAAAAAAATTTATATAGTTTAATATTAAAGTTTAATAGTATATAGAAACTTTCATAATGATCAATAAAAAAATTTATTGAGAATAGTGCAACTAATAAAAATATAATAGTCTATCCTAGGCACTAGTACTTAGACACTAGGACTCAGACAGTAGGACCTAAACAATAGGACTTAGACAGTAGGACCTAGACACTAGGACATAGACACTAGAACCTAGACAATAGGACTTAGACACTAGGACTCAGACAATAGGACCTAAATAATAGGACTTAAACAGTAGGACCTAGACACTAGGACATAGACACTAGAACCTAGACACTAGGACTTAGACATAGACATCTTGACTTCTGTTTGCAATGATCAGTTATTTATACTTAATTAAAATCAATACTTCACACCAATTTAATGTTGTGAATAGAATTGCTTTTTATAGCTGTAAAACTACTTTCAATTGCCATTAAAAATCGAAATGTCATTTACTGAGTTAAAGAGAACACTTTTGTAGCTGATATAAATATTTCTTAATGATTAACTTATAAATATGTACTCAACCACAGACATTTGTAGATAGCTACGCAGTTTTAAAAAAAAATATATATAATAAAAATTTCTGATTAAAAAAATTAAAAATTACCAGGATTGTTTCCAGCATGATTATTCACTAAAAAAATAATACTTATAATATGTTGTTAATTTCAAACTATAATAAATAAAATCTTTAAAAATAGAAACCTACAATAACAAATAAACTACGAAAGATATTTAAATATATAATGTAAAAAAAATTTTATATAATTAAGCATTTTTTTGAAACTTTTTAATTTTTTAAATATGTCGATGGTACAAAAACATCTTTATAATGAAACATTACAACATGTTTTACATAGAACACTTTTATTTTACATTAAATATTTTTACTGTATGAAATTTTTCTTGATTTTTGCACCAAAATGCTTCACCAGTTTGAGAATTCATAGATATATATTGAAATTTAATTTAAGAATTCATATACATTAAAATCTATTTAAAATATTGATCACTTACATAGACTTTTTTCTTTTTTTTTACGACGCCTAGTCAACCAATAAAAACATAAAAGCATAAAACCAATGAAAAACAATACAGCTGCTACAACAATACCAATAATAATTTCTAAAAATAATATATATATATATATATATATATATATATATATATATATATATATATATATATATATATATATATATATATATATATATATATATATATATATAATATATATATATATATATATATATATATATATATATATATATATATATATATATATATATATATAAATATATATATATATATATATATACTAAAGAAGTATGGAAGTTAAAAGAAAATGGAGTAAACCCGACAATTAAATGGAAAATTTTAAAACGTTGTAGATCTTACAATCCCTCAATAAAACGATTCAACTTATGTCTATATGAAAAGTATTTCATAATATCGTACACCTATGATAACTTATTAAATAAGAGGAATGAATTAGTATCTAAATGTAGACATAAAAGCAAATTCCTTCTTTCGAAATTCGATACTAGTTTTCGTTTTTAGTTTTTTCTTATCTTTTTGTTTTTGTTTTGTTTTGACGACGGAGCACACTCCACTGTAACTTTATATTTTAACGGTTTTTTTTGTTTCTTGTTTTGTATTACATGGCTGATGATTGCCTTTAGGCATGAAACTATTAGTACCATAATAAGTTATTTTCTTTATTTTTATAAATTAATATAATGCTCTATTAAATAATATAAATAAATCCTATTTATTTATTATTGAGCACTCTTATACGTACAAGAGTTTTTTGTATTTTATTGCAAATACAAAATATCATACAATATATATATATATATATATATATATATATATATATATATATATATATATATATATATATCAGGCCTTGTTTTAAATAACAAATGTTTAACGCATTAGCTTAATGTGAATTTGCTGTCATAAAATTCTCTTTATCTTTTCATTTTTTAAAGACATTAACTTTTTCAAATTACTGCAATAACCGCAAGTTAAATATTGTTTAACTCGCTTTTTATTAATATACTATTACAAAATGTTTATCTCTTTCATTTTTTTTATATTAAATAATAAATTTGATTTATAATAAAAAAAAAAATTTAATGTAAAAATTGTTTTTCTCAACATTTGTATAAACGAATTAAAATAAGTTAATTTTTTTAAAAATCATTTTTTCATAAACAATCATTAAAAAAAAATTAAACTAAAACAAAGACAACTAAAACAACAGGGGACATTGTGACTTCGATAAAATTGCAAAAATCTAGCTTGCAAATATTCTTTGATGTAAATACCCGAGTTTAAAGTTGACGATGTGACAAAAGCTTGAGATCTCAAACCACAGCTGCATATTGCTGGCCAAAATTTAATCCTTAAAAAGCTCTTACCAAAATTTAATCCTTAAGAAACTTTATACCTTTTGGGTCATTCTCTTTTGGTTTATTCGATAAGCTGGGATTTTGCGTGAATGATCGTTGAATACTAATTACTGCTTTCTTATCCTTAAAACCACTCTTTCTTCCAGATCTATTTGCTTGTTTGATAGATGGAGAGCTCTTGTATTGTTTTATGACCATATAAACAGTAGTTTTGCTAGATTAAGATCCTTTAACAATTGAAAGTAACAATGCAGAAGGATTTTGTAGATAGTTTATCTAATTATTACAATGACATTTTAATTAAGAGAAAGATTTTGACTCGTTTGTTGATGTTTTTAATTAATACTGTAATTAATTAATGTAACTACGCGGATTTAAAAAAATACGATAATTAAAAAAAATTTATTAATGTGTTAGTAACAGGGGTGTAGAGTTGTAAAAAAAAAAGTAATGACTCCGACTCTGACTCTAGTTGTAAAAATTTTTTGAATACAACTTCGACTCCGACTCCAGTTGTTTAAATTTTTAGAGCACAACTGTGCCTCGGACTCCAACTCCGAATCCAATTCCAAAGCAAAATTTTCGAAAAATTCTTTGTATTCTTAAAAAAATATTGCGCGATAAGTTAAAAATTTCTTTTTTGACAAATTTATGAAACATTCTTTGAGGTTTAGTATGAACATAAATTTAATTGAATGTTTTGTACATGCACATGAAATACCGAGAAGTTTTACTATTGGAGTCGAAGTCGCAATTTATGCAATACAGGCTTGGTCGGGAAGCGGGAGCGATCACTTTCGAATACTGACCACGGAAATTATATTTAGTTGCAAAAAACTGGCCAGTGTTTTTTTTTTCAATTGTTTTGAGAACATTTAAGTTTATGTACAAAACAAAAAATTTTTGTTTTACAGACATACATGGAAACATAAAAAACTTGAATGTTATCAAAACATCTTGGTGCGGAAGAATAAAAAGAATATTTGCAAACACTAAAAACTCACCAAATTAACGAACAAACTTATTCTATTGGTACAAAAAATATGTTGACGAATCGATTTAAAGTTCTAGAGTATTCTGTTGAAATATTATTCACGATTTGTTACGCTTTGAGATTTCTAGCATAAATTGTTTTAAAATATATTATCAATACTTTGGCTCATTCTCGGAGCCACATCTGCAAAGCCGTATTTCTTATAAACCATTATTATTTGTTTACAAAAATAAATGTTTTCAATATATATTATTTAAATTGTCAAAATTATGAAAGTTTAATATTATATGATATATATTATTATATTATATATATTATAAATTATAGATTTCATTAGTATATTATTATTTTTTATTTAAAAAGTATGTATTTTTTATGTAAATGTTATTTTGTGTATCTATTTTTTAATGTTACCTTTTAAAGCAATTTGTATGATTTAATTTGTAAATAAAGACTTACAAAAAATTTAACAAACATATAAGAAGTTTCTGGTTACTAAACACAAACAATGCATACTAACAGTGCCGGATCAAAGGAGGGCTAGGAGGGGCTATAACCCCGGGCCCCGCAAATTTAGGGGCCCCAAAAAATTTTAGAGAAATTTTAGAGGTCATAACAGAACACAAATATATATACCAAGTTATTAGATATAAAGAAAAGTTCCTAGATTGGTTTACTAACTATAATTATTTTCGCTTAAGTTGCCATTCTTAAGAACTTGTTATACTTTTTTCTGCTTTAAATACTAAATAAAATTAAAAAGCCCACTCGCTAAACATCATTAAAGTATTTTTAACCTTTTTAGTTGATTTCTATCTAGTTACTTTAATTTCTATAGTAATTCAATGATTTAATTATTTCATTTGTTTATTTTACTAAGAAGAATTGTTTCAAATATGTAAAAATTTTCAAACATAAAATAGGTATTTAAAAAATTAACTTTTTTATTTATAAAATAATTTAGCTTAGATAAAACTAAAACTTGCAAATTTTGTTAAATAAAGAACATTTGTTTTCTTTTTAAACAATCGTAAGATGTTACTTTATATAAAAAACATCGTTTAATTTTATAAAAAAAAATATAAAAGAGCGATGTTTCAAAAATATTTGTTCTAAACGTAATTTATTTTGCTTAAAGTTTTTTCGCGCAAAAAGAAAAATTTTATTTTCCTAATTTTTTTTTTGTAATTGTCTCTCATCGGTTCAAAATAATCTTATACGCTTTTTTTTTTGCTTTTTAAAATGTTATCAAAACGACTAAAAAATCTGGCTAGCTTTTCACAATTAAATATTATTAGGCAATCGAGAGCAATCGCTCTCGATTCCTGACCAAGCCTGCAATACTGTAATGTTTTTATAAATAATTTACTTTTTTAAAAAAAAACAACATGTTTTACTTAATTAGCATTAATCACCATTAATTGGCCCCTATGTGAAGATAGTTTTTGGTAGAATGAAACACTAAAACAAATTTTTTTAAGAAAAACTATTAAAGGATAGTATTTTGTTGAGCGAAAAATTGTTAAAATATTCATTTTTATTACATTTTGGCAAGACCTCAACTGTTAGAAAAAATATTTAAAAAAAATAGAAACTCAATAAAATGAACAAAGTTTGTCTACAGTAAAAAAAACATACATTTTATTCATCTAAAAAAAAAACACGAGAGCCGAGAGCCGCTCGATTTTTGCGGCTCCTGCTCCACCAAAAAACATCTGCTCCCCGGTTTTGACTCCACAAGCCTGCATATAGATACTAATGAAGTTGTTTGTACTGATGGTAATTGATACTGATGAAGAAGTTGGTACTGATGGTAATTGGTACTGTTGAAGAAATGTTCTCTACAAGTTTAAAGTAAAATTAATTAATAAACTTGATTAAGGCCTTGACAAAAGTTTTTTATTTTGATGACAGAAACCATAAAGTATTAACAGAATTTAATGGCATATATTTCCCTTATATTGTCAAAGAAAAACATTCTGTCGTAACTAAACCAGAACACACATTTATTTCATTCTGTTCCATAGAAAACTCACAAAAAACAAGATAATTGCAGACCACCTGGATCCCGAGTTAAAGGATTAATTGAAAGCCATAGAAAACACTGAATAAGTTAAATACTGTAAATACTGAATGAATGATACCAATATACTGAATGGATGTGCGTCGCAATTGGAAGGAAAAAAATTCAAGAGTTCCTCTTTAAGAGATTTATGGTATAACTTTTCAAAATCTTAAATGAATTGGTTAATTTATTGTAAGTTTCATATGCTTCAAACTGGTTCAACAAATCAAATCATGCAAGGTTGAGTGCTTAAAACACACTTTATATCACTTGAAACTCCTCAGAAACCAGAAGATTCATCACCATTAGGGATTGCAATCCTGGATCCCGAGATCCCAGGATCCCAGACATTTTTGGGTCCCGAAAATCCCGGGATTCTAAACACAAAATCCCGGGATTTTCGGGATTATAGCAGGATTGAACTAATTAAATTATTTTGTAAAACAAAATGTTCAAAGTTGGTAACTATACTGAATTATAACGAGTTATATAATGCTGCTTTGCAGGTTTATCCTGTTTATGCTTTATCCTTACGATAAATGGAACAAATTTTTGAATAGACCATGGAGTTCGGGATTTTATCATTGAAAAAAGTTTCACAAACACAAATTAAGGCAGGTTTGTTTGACTATTGTATAAAAAACAATCGTTAAGTTTGTTGGCAAGACTTCTTGCGTTAAAAAGATAAATTTTAAAATTGTTGAGCGAATTTGTGGTTAAGTGATTGCTTGAGTTTATCAAGTCGTTTTGTTCATTTCAAAAAATATTTTTAGAGAATGAAAAAAATAAAAATGAACAAGTAATAAAAAAAAAATTATATCTAAAAAAATTTAATGATTACTACATAACAATTCCCTTTGGGATATTTCTAGCGATTTGTATAAATATATTTGTACAATTATTAGTTATTGCAACATTATAATGCCCTTGACAATTAATTCCGCTTGAAGGAATTCTAGTGTGAATATATACAAAATTTGACTGTGGAATGAATCGTTTTGAACGTTTTGAACTGATAACCTTTTTAATGCTTTTGTTGTTTACCGCAATGTTGTTTACTAATGCACCTTAAAAAATATCCTTCTAAACATGAATGAAAACAGTGAAAAGGGAACATCATTTTTTCTACACAAAAAAGATAAAGACCCAACTTCAGTGTGGTCACATTATTTGAAGTCTGCGGATAATTTGGCAGCAAAATGTAAGAAATGTGGTGTAATTTTGAAAACATTGGGTGGTTCTACAAAAGGCCTTCATACGCACTTATCAACTAAACATAATTTGAAAGTAACTTCAGCCGACAAAAATTTACCTAGTTCGAGTCAACAGTTGAATGATGCCAGAACCGAGGAGAAGCCTCCTACGAAACAAAGAATAATGAGTTACTTTGCATCCGGAAAAAAAAAAACCTTAGACGAAACACTGGCTCGAATGACAGCTTTAGTCTCTCAATATTAACAAACAACTTATTATGTTATTTTTTACAAAGTAGCTTGTTGCTACAGCAGCTACATCGGTACCCAAATTTAAGAAAATTTATGTTTACAAATTTATTTTGAAATTTTGATTGTTTAGTTACTTTAGTCAAATACACTTTAAATGTTCAAATGTTATTTACATATCCAATTATTTGATGAAGGTTATTCTGTAAAGTCTGTAATCTTAAAACATAATATGGAAGGTACCATATATATATTTCTGCATTATTTTAAGATCTTTATATACACCTGCTGCCTGTTACACAATTAAAACAATTTAAGGCGCCGTAGAAAATTAATTTAAGTCATTAAAACATAATGAAATTAAATAAAGAATTGATAACATCAAAAAGTATATTCATATATGCAGTATTAAGTTCTGTTTTTTAGCAAATAACTCACATTATATAAAATCCCGGGATCCCATTTTATTTACTTCAATCCCGAAATCCCGGGATCGTAATTCATGCCTGGGATTGCAATCCCTAATCACCATCAACAGCTACATGGTTATCATCAAGCCAAGACCTAAGCATCATTATTACTACCTATGCATCAGTGTACCCCTATTACCTCTAATATAAAATTACTCAAATAATACAAATGGAATAAATGAATTCAAAAAAGAAATACAATTATAACTTATTAGTATATATAATAACAAATAGTAATTAATATAAAACAAATAGTAAATTAACATCAACAAATTTAAAATGTTTTTTGATACCATTTTTGTTACTAGCAATAGTAGGAGTATTGGGTGTATTTGGCAACTTCTGGCAAATGTTTTGCACAAGAATTTCCCCCTAAAAAATATTATCATAAAAATCACTTATTATATATATATATATATATATATATATATATATATATATATATATATATATATATATATATATATATATATATATATATATACACACATATACATATACACATATACATATATATATATATACATATATTTGTATATATATGTATATAAAATTGTAAAAAAAAGATGTTATCATTTTTACCTCAAGACATTTTATACAAGGATTTTGCTTGTCATATCGAAATCCCTCAGGACATCTACAAACTGTATCAGAAAAACTTGTGCAATTTGAAACAAGAATCTCCTTTCTTTTACAGTCTGAGCATCTAGAAAAAATAGTATATAATTATAAATTTGTTTTATTATAATAAAATTTATATATATGTGTGTATATATATATATATATATATATATATATATATATATATATATATATATATATATATATATATATATATATATATATATATATATATATATATATATGTATATATATATATATATATATATATATATATATATATATATATATATGTATATGTATATATATATATATATATATATATATATATATATATATATATATGTATATATATATATATATATATAAATATCAGGCCTTGCGATAAAGCGTCGGGCGATGTGAATTTTACGTCGTCCAAGAGCGATTTTGCGTGTAGCTAGGGCTATTTGCGTCGAGCAAAAAAATTTTTGTTTGAGTATATTTAAAGATATTTTTGAGCGGAATTTTAATGAAGTAATTTACGATTATTTTAACATTTAATAAAGTATTTTAAAAACCGCACGCTGTTGATATAAAAGTTTGAATTAAAGAAAAATAAAATATGCTCATTATTTACAAGTAGAAAAAATTCAGATAAAAAAAAAGTTTAAATCTTTTTAAGCTAACATTTTAATAAAATTATTCAGCAATAGCAAAGTTGTTGATAAAATTGAACAAAAATACTTTTTTTTTAGTTTTAGATTTTTAACTTAAACAATTATTTTACGGGGGTTTGTTAGGTTTTAAAATTATTCCATAGATTTAAAAATATTTATTAACTGTTAGACGTATTTAAAGTATTTAAGAGTAATTTCGAGGAAATATTTTAAAAATTGGTAAACGCAAATAAAAAAAAATAAAAGGATTAATATTAAAACGTATTCTACTTGATTCAATAAAAAAGTACAGCTATTAAAATTTTTGTAAAAAGTAACTCTAAAAAAAAATTACTTAAATAATAACAATCGCTTTTTTGTTAGAAGTTACCGAAACTCAACGAAGCGTGCTCAAGAACAGCTGCTGAAAAATGGAACGTCAATAGTTTTTCGAATAATTTTTAATAATAATTTTTAAGAATAATTTTTTCGCTGAAATATGTCTTTTATACCTATAAGAATTTTATTCTAACATTTTCTTTTATTTTATTTTACCAAAAATAAAATTCCTTGTAAACATTAAAAATCTATTCAAAACGTTCGTTAAAGTTTTTTAGTAACCTCGTATTGCTAAAAATTTATTTTCATAAAGCGGTTGATTGTGCTTATCAACCGCTTCATGAAAATAAATAAAAATAAATAAATAAAAAAAATATTATATAAAATTGCTAGTAAAAATATTAGCTATTGCACATTTTTTAATCGTACAATATTAAAATTTCCAGTTTATTACTCGCTGCTTTTTAAAAAGAAAAAATAATTATTTGAAAAACTTTAAATTACATATTTGATAAAAAAAAATCAAATATTAGCATATTTTATAATCTTTTTTAAATGTTTAGTTATAATGTTTTTTATTCGTTTAGTATAGACAAAACGTGTCAAACGTCGAGAAAATAAACAAATGTTTTTACATTTTAAATAACGAAACATTCCAAAACATTTAAATAATAACATTTCTACATTAATAATTTAAAGTAGTTTTGCGGTAATTAAGTAAATTTTTTTTTTTTTTTTTTTTTTTTTTTTTTAACATCTTCACTTCCAACAAGGCTGCAAGCAACCACTATAAGAGTTGGAAGTTACTGGAAGAGAAAAGACTAAATCTGTAGAGCAAGATAACGATTGACTGATGACTTAAAAGATTGCAAATTATATGAATCAGGAAAGCAAGATGAAGGAAGCGAATTCCAAAGAACTGATGTTCGAGGAAAAAAACTAGAAGAATAAGAGTTTTTGAAGCACTTAGGAACAGTCACAGAAAAAGGATGAGACTTAATTGAATGGCGAGTAACACGAGAATGAATTTTAGTAGATGGCACAAGGGACGCTAGCTCTTTAGAGCAGTGCCCATTATAGTATTTGTAGAAAAGAGAAAGAGAAGCAACATTACGACGATGTGACAAAGGTTGGAGATTGGCAGCCAGAGCAGGTCCAACTATGTTTACAATTCGTTTTTGCACCTTGTCTAAAAGAGAAAGAGCATCATTAGAAGATCCGCCCCAGATGTGGCAACAGTATTCCATACAGGGACGGATTTGAGATTTATAGAGATAGAGAATAGAATCTGGAGTAAGAAAGTGTCGAGCTCGATAAAGAGATGCAACCTTAGCAGATGCTAATTTTGCAATGGATTTGATATACGGTTTTAAAGAAAGATCAGAAGTAAGAGTTAATCCTAGAAGATGAATGGTAGATGACTCATCTAGTACATTACCATTCATAAATATAGGAAGATCTAAATTATTACGATAACGATTGGCCGAATAAAATTGAGTTTTATCTGAATTAAAGTTCACAATTGGTGCAGTTAATATCGATAAATATGAAAAGCAAATAAAAAGAATTTAATTACGTCAAAAATCACGTCGTGCTTATGTGTTGCGCAGTTTTTATTCATCACAAGGTCTGATATATATATATATATATATATATATATATATATATATATATATATATATATATATATATATATATATATATATTATTTGTTTATTTTAGGTCCCCCAAGAAGACAATATGGTCTTATCACAGAGCACAGCGGAAAAGCATTTGAAAGGAAGTTCAGGCCTCCTTCTTTACCAATGTTATAAAACTTTCTCAGAGGTGGCAATGAACCATGGATCTTTAATTTCTAAGGCAAATACGCCAACCACTGGTCGGTGTATTTGCCTCAGAAAATAAAGATCCTTGGTATTTGTAAAATTCCTAAAATTTTTAATATTATTTGCATATCTACTTTTTTTTTTCTAAATGTTTTTCTACTGTAATTAAAGTTTGGAACTACTAATGTTGTTTGAAAAAAGAATGAACTTTAAAAGTTATAAGTGCTATAAAAGTCATAAGTTAAAGTAATAACACTATTATAGTTTAATTACTTTTATAATGCAGTTAGTAACTAGAGTGTTATTACTTTTGTAGTTGTAAGTTTATTGTTTAGTTTTTTTATAACTTTTTCTCTAACAAACTTATAATGATTTGCTACTTGAAAACAATTTACATAACTTAACATTAACTAAAATTTTAAAGAACAGATATTTTTTCAGATTTTGCAAATTGCGATTGCTTAATTCAACCCTTGTATAAAGAACATTTATTTTTAAGAACCAGAGAAGAAATTTATTTTTATTATCTATCACTTTTTACTAAATTACAACAAAACTTAATTTAAAACAATCAAAAAAAAAATCAAAGAAAATAATAATGTAGAAATGTTATTAACTGTGTGTGTTGTTTCAGATTTCTTAAATTATAAAATTATGAATTTCTTTCCTCTACATTTGATACAAATAATTAACTCAAAACAATGTAGTGATGTTTTATCCTGTTTTGTCATAAAAATAACAACAAAATTTTATGAATAAAAATATGCAAATTATTAACTTTTATTTCTTTAATTGTATTTTCAGCTTTGCAAGCACCAATTATTTTCTATTGCTAAGAAGCCAGCAAGTAATAAACTAAAAAATTACAACAATAAAAAAGCAAAAATAGGTAATTATTTTACCAGCAATTTTGTTGTGACAAATTTTATTTAGGTTAGCAAAAGGTTGTGTGACCAGAAAAGTTTTATCTACATTAAAGTGTAATCAGCAAAATTTTATTTAGGTTTGCAAGTGTGACCAACAAAGTTAAATTTAGGTTCGCAATTCATAAAAATAATTTTTTTTACAAAATGGCTGATATGTGATTACAGTTGTTATTACAAGTGTAATGTATGTTTTTTGTACTTGTTTTTAGTTTAACACACTTGTGCACACTACAAGGTTAACAACCATTTTTTGTACCTATTTTTGATGCAAGAATTTGTAATTAACCTGTTTAACTGGAATGGCAGGAAGGCTGTGGCCTTTTTTACATAGTTCTTTACAATTTTTTCCTTTTTGGGGGAGAGGTAATAAAATCCCACCCATAAATTAGAGATAAAATGTTCAACTTTTTTTGGCAATGATGCTGTTGAAGATTTTCTATAAATCTCTAGAGACTAACTTCCGAGATACATGATTAAGTAAACTGGGAATAATGAAGCTTAGCATCAGACAGCACTTTTTTTTTAATTAATATTTAATTAACACATTTTAAAGGATTTCTTGAAATAATAAAAAGATGTTTGTTCTCCAAGAAAAAAAGACATTTGATATTTTGAAAAAGATGAAAAATATATATTATGATAGAAAAAGCAGTTGCAGAAGAAAACCATGGAAATCATGGAAACCATTGTGTAGAATGAGGTTTGAATTGAAACCAATAAGAAACAAAAGCTTTTAATCTGCCTGGATCCAGGAGATTTGTATATTAATCAATGAAGAGACAAAAGATTTAAGCCCAAGAACCATCACAAAGAAAAGCACGAATAGAATCCCAGTCAACTTTTGGGCAGTAAGTAGTGCAATTAGTAACTAGATCCCAAAATTAACTGTCTGAGTAAGAGATTAGGAAATATAGAGGTTATGGCCTTTAGTTAATCAGACTGAAATCAGGGCTGTTTCCAGGCTAGTTTCCAGGTTCTACACTAATCTAGGCTGTTTCCAGGCTCTACACAAACCTTGTTCTGCTTGTAAAAGCTCTTACTTGAAAGTATGGCAGAGTGCATTGTCCTGTCAATGCATTAGATTTAATAAACTATAACATAATATACCTGGTTCCAGGAGATTGCGCATAAGGGGCTTTATCAGCAGAGAGATGAAAAACATCAGACCCTAAAAGCCAAAAAACAAGTTTTCAAAAGTATGTCATATTGGGTTTCAATAGAAGCGAAATTTTTAAAAATAATCTTTTTATAAAAAATTATTATTTTGAATTTTACTGCATAGAAAATGAAAAAAGTGCATTTTTACCAGATTTTTTTATTTAATTTTTTTCCAAAATTTTAATAAAACAATAACTATTTTTGAAATTTCTATATAAATTCGCTAATCTTGAGACCCAACATAACACCCATTAAAATTTTTTTTTGGCATATAGGGTTCCGGCTTGATCGGGAAGCAGGAGCGATCACTCTCGATTGCTGACCACGTAAATAATATTTAGTTGCGAAAAACTGGTCAGATTTTTTAGACGTTTTGAGAACATTTTTAAAAGCAAAAAAAAAAAGCGCAAAAAATTAATTGGACCGATGAGAGACAATTACAAAAAAAAAAAAAAAAAAAAAAAAAAATGAGGCAAATAAAATATCTTTAAACACGAAAAAACTAAAAGCTAAATAAATTATGTTTAAAACAAATATTTTCGAAACATCGCTCTTTTATAATTTTTTTTATTAAATTAAGCGCTGTTTTTTATATAAAGTAACATCTTACGATTGTTTAAAAAGGAAACAAATATTCTTTATTTAACTAAGTTTGCAAGTTTTAGTTTTATTTAAGCTAAATTATTTTATAGATAAATTATTTTATAGATAAAAAAGTTAATTTTTTTAATACCTATTTTATGTTTCGCATAGTTTAAAAAGTTTAACATATTTGAAGCAATTCTTCTTAGTAAGATTAACAAATGAAATAATAAAATCATTGAATTACTATAGAAATTAAATTAACTAAAAAGGTTAAAAATACTTTAGGACAAGGAAGCAAAACTGCTTCACAATATTGCTGATGATGTTTAGTGAGTGGGCTTTTTAATTTTAATTCATATTTAAACGAGTTTTTTAAAAATGGCAACTGAAGCGAAAATAATTAGAGTTAGTAAATCAATATCTAGAAACTTTTTTTATATCTAATTATTTGCTATATATATTTGCAGGCTGGGTCGGGAAGCGGTAGCGATCGATCTCAAATCCTGACCACATAAATAATATTTAGTTGCGAAAAGCTGGCCAGATTTTTTAGTCGTTTTGAGAACATTTTAAAAACCAAAAAAAAAAAGCGACTAAGATTAATTGGAACTATAAGAGACAATTACAAAAAAAAAAAAAAAAAAAATTAGGCAAATAAAATATCTTTAAACGCAAAAAAACTTAAAGCTAAATAAATTACATTTAGAACAAATATTTTTGAAACATTGCTCTTTTATAATTTTTTTTATAAAGTTAAGCGATGTTGTTTATTTAAAGTAACAACTTACGATTGTTTAAAAGGTAACAATTTACAATTGTTTTTTCTTTATATCTTATTATTAGCTATATATATTTATGTTGTCATGACTCAGGCGTGGTGCTTGTTCATCCGCGAGTTTTTTTGTATGCCTTGTTTGTCTTTAGTAACCAGAAACCTCTTATATGTTTGTTACATAATTAGTTTTATTAATTTTAACGATTGTAACTTCATTGAAAATGCAATTATTTTTGTAAGTCTTTGTTTACATCATAAAAATTGCTTTAAAAGATATATTACAATAAAAAAAAGATACACAAAATTAAATTTACATAAAGAATACATACTTTTTAAATAAAAAATAAGAATATACTAATAAAATCTATAAATTATAATAAACTTTTAAAATTTTGACAATTTAATTAATATATATTTAAAACATTTATTTTTGTAAACAAACAATATATATTCTTAAAATGATTTATGCTAGAAATCTCAAAACGTAACAAATCGTGAATAATACAATTTTTAAAACATTTCAACAGAATACTCTAGAACTTTATTTCGCTTAGTCAGCGTATTTAGAATTAGTTTGTTTGTTAATTTGGCAGGTTTTTAGTGTTCGCGAATATTCTTTTTATTCTTTCGCACGTTTTTTATGTTTCTATGTATGTCCGTAAAACAAAAGTTTTTTGTTTTGTACATAAACTTAAATGTTCTCAAAACGACTAAAAAAACCTGGACAGTTTTTTGCAACTAAATATAATTTCTGTGGTCAGTAGTCGAGAGTGATCGCTCCCGCTTCCCGACCAAGCCTGAGGGTTGCGTCACAAAATTCAGACTAGAGGTGAAGTGATGGATCTAGGGGGGATGAGGGTATGCATTCTCCTCCTTCACCAGAATCTGAAAGTCCTGAAAATATCATAGAAATTACGATTTTTTTTTTTTTAGGAGACAAAAACATGGTACAAAATACAAAAATATTTAAACATCCCCCTCCACCAAAAGTTCCTGGATCCATCACTGTAGAGGTAAAAATTAATTATGTTTATGAAAAAAATTTTCATAAACATAATTAATTTTTTGAAAATTTTTACAGAGTTACATGTAAGAACCAACAAAATTTTTTTAGTATAGGGTCAGATCTTTTTTTAAAAATAGGAAGCCTTTGATGCATCTAATATATATATATATATATATATATATATATATATATATATATATATATATATATATATATATATATATATATATATATATATATTATATATAAATAAATAAATATTTAGTTGCGTAAAACCGGCCAGAATTTTTAGTCATTTTGAGAACATTTCAAAAACAAATAAAAAAGCGCAACAAGATTAACTGGGCCGATGAGAGACAGTTAAAAAAAGAAAATAGCTTTTAACGCGAAAAAACTATAAGCAAAATAAATACAATTAGAGCATTTTTGAAACGTCGCTCTTTTATAATTTTTTTTATAAAAGTAAGCAAAATTTTTTATATTAAGTAACAACTTATTATTAATGATTGTTTAATAAGGAAACAAATGTTCTTCGATTTATCAAAGAGTATATTTACTTTTTTATTTATATACTTATTTCTTATTTCCAGGGCTGGATTGAGAAGGTGTGAGGGGGCTATAGCCCCGGCACTCACAATCTTAGGGGCCGTGAAACAGTCAAGTGGACTATTCGGTACTTTTTTAGTCATTTTTACGCTGTGGCATATAAAAAAGGCCACCAAAATAATGCAGTCGATTTTTTATCAAATATATATATATATATATATATATATATATATATATATATATATATATATATATATATATATATATATATATATATATATATATATATATATATATATATATATATATATACATCAAGCCTTCCCAGGGAAGGCGTGCGGTTTTTTGTCTTGTATGACCACACGCGATTATAATATTTTAGAAAACGTTTACACGGCCGTTTGCAAGTTTTATAATAATGCTGAAAAAGTTTCAAAAACAAAAAAACAAAACTAACAAAATAAAAAGAAATTGAAATAGAAAAAAATAAAAAACAAATTAATAATTTAAATAATTTGTGTACTGTTTTTATTTTTGTTTCTTTAGAGTTACATTTAGCAACAAAAGGCAAAGCAAAAAAAAAACAGTTTGAAGTCTACAATAAAAATAATGATTTTCCTTTTCCTAAAGAATTTCCAAATTACAATGTGTTCGTAAAATTTATTTGTATAATTTTAATGTAACAAGGGTTGAATTAAGCGAATGCAAAACGCAAAATCTGGAAAAATATCTAGTATTCAAAACTTTAGTTTATACAAAACCGTGTTCCTTGTTTTTAAGGGGAGAATCAACTTAAATTTATTAGCGAAAAAATAAAAAATAAAACAATAAATTTACAACTACAAAAGTAATAACACTATAGTCATTAACTGCATTACTAAAGTAATAACTCTATAATAGTGTTATTACTTTTATAATGCACTTATAACTTTGATAACATTAGTATTTCCAAATTTTAATTGAAGTAGAAAAATATCTAGAAGAATAAAGTGGATTTTCAAATAATATTAAAACTAAAGCAGCTTATAAAAATGTGACAAACAACCTTATGAAAACGTATCATATTAAAAGCTTAGCATTATGAAAAACATTACTAATGGACTGTAAAAACGCGCGTTAATTTTAAAATTAACCAATAAAAACTTTTTATTGGTTGATTTTAAAACTAACTTGCGTTATTATGTAACGTTTTTCATAATGCTATACTTTTTTTAAAGTACTTTTTTATAACGTTGTTTAAGTGATATGTAAAAGTTCTTGAAATTTTTAATAATATTTGAATATCCGCTTTATTTTTTCCTAGATGTTTTTCTATTTTAATAAATGTTTGGAATTAATAATGTTGTTTGAACAAAGAACGAACTTTAAAAGTAATAAGTGCTTTATAAATGTAATAACACTATTATCGTTTTATTACTTTTATAATGCAGTTAGTGACTAAGGTATTATTGTTTTGTTTTTTGTTACTTTCTCGCTAGCAAGCTTTTAATAATTTGCTCCTTATAAACCATGTACACAGCTTTGCATGAACTAAAATTTTAAAGACCTAATATTTTACCAGAGTTTGCAAATTGCAATCGTATAATTTAACTCTAGATATAAACTTGTTACATTTAGTTATACAAATATATTTTACAAACAGATGATGATACATATTTTCTCTTTCCTCTTTAAAAGAAAAAATACATAAAATATGGTAAAGTCATCCTTTTTAATGTCTAAAACCGTTTTTTTTTTTTTTTTTGTTTTTTATGCTTTGACTTAATAAATTTTGTTGCTGATAATAATAACCACTAAGAAAAACAAAAACAAAAACAACACACTAATTATTTAAACTATTATTATTGTTTTCTATTTAAGTTTACTTTAATTTCTTATGTAGTTATTAAATTTAAAACAATTTTTCAGTAACGGATATAATATAACTTCCGTAAACGGCCGTGATCACTTTCTCTAACTTGAAAACCGTTTTAGTGGTCGTACGATATATATATATATATATATATATATATATATATATATATATATATATATATATATATATATATATATATATATATATATATATATATATATATATATATATATATTGTTGAATTTGATTAAGAAGGCTGCTTGTAAACTTTTTGTTTTTAAATATATTTTGATATTATTATATATTTACAATATTTTGTTGACCTATAGCGGTAAGCATTATCAGGTGTAATAAAAAACGTTACAAAAATTGTTAGAATAAAAATAAAAAAAGTTTTTATTAAATAATATAATGGTGTCAGTTAAAATTTTGACCAAAATGGTTTCCAAGTTCTCTTGTTTTTATTCATTATACCTTCACCTTTAAATTTTTTTTTTGAAGTAGATTTTTCGTTTGCATTTTGTATCTTCAATTTTTTTGTTTTTTTCTTTGTTTTTAGTGAATATCTTTGCTGTAAAGAGCAGTAATAAAATCTTTTAAAATCTTATTCTTGTTATACGATATTTACATGTTAATTTTATTAAGAAGGCTGCGTATAAACTTTTTGTTTTTAAATATATTTTTGTAACATTTTTTATTACACCTAATGATGCTGACTGCTATATGTCAGCAAAATATTGTTAATATATAATAATATCAAAGTATATATACTTAAAAATAAAAAGTTACCAAGATATTTTATTTGAATAAAAAATTTGTTCATAATTTCAAAATTTACTGACAGTTCTTTGAGTTTTAAAAATTTGTTAAGTTTGTGACATTTTTTTGGAGAAAAATTACAGCTCAACAACAATTATGGATGAATTGCGAATCCTGTGACAATTGGTTGTGTGGATCTTGCTGTCAATGATACGAGCAAGAATTGCCAATAAACATACAAAGCTCATAAACATGCAAATTAGTGTTTTTTTGTTAATTGAAAAAACCTTTTAAATAATTGAAAAATATATTTTTAATTTTATTAACCAGTTGCGTAACAAATGTGATAATGGCCATAGTAATAAAACAGTTGACTAATTATAATAAAAATTAAAAATACTACAATTTCAAAAGATTTTTATTTTTGAGCCCAGGGCAGTGGCCTCCTAGTTACTCTCCTTAGTTACTGACATTTTTAAATGTTGTAAAACAACAACTAGATTTCATTATTTATGACAACAAGTTTGTGATAAGTTATTAGTATTTATATAGCGGCCCAACTTATGAGATGGTATTGAAAGTTCAGTCAAAGTAGATGTTTTCATTTTAAATTAAATATTGAGTACTAGTTTTTATTTTTCATTTTTTTATTTTTACAATATCAATTATCAATATAACTTTCTGAATGTTTCAGGAAAAAAAAATTTAATACATGGGTGATAAATAAAAAATAATAAATGTTCAAAGCTTAGGCAATTTTACGGTATTTCTTTTTTTTGTAAAGTAAAACGAATTTGGTCTATAAATCAAAACAAATGTCAGAAAATATTTTTATATACTAAATTCAGAGTGTTTTTAGAAAAACATTCTGAATAAAGTATATAAAAAAAAAATTTTTTATTAAACTAGAAATACAAAAAATTCAAGTTTTTGCTAAAAACTTGAATTTATGAAGTTGTGGATTATGCACACTTACAATTTGGTTTTTAATCAGTATAACTCTTCCTTCATTTAGATACCGAAATTGGTACCAAGTATTTTGATAGGTATTGATACCGAATACTGAAATTTTTTATACCCTGACAACACTACTTGAATTTTACATACGAAAGGGCAATTTGCGTTCATGTTCAGCAGTTTTGTATAAGTGAAAAGTTTTTTATTTTGAAATATTTGAATTTATTTTTTTATTATCATTTATGTGACTTATTTAGCAAACATTAGGAAAATATTTCTTAAACTAAAAAATATAAAAATTTTTCTGTTAAAGAAACATATTATTTTATTAATTATTTCAAAAAAATTTAGTTTGATTTTGAAAGAATGCAAAATAGTAAGTAAAAAGTAGATTAAATTTAGTTTCAAAGGAATATAAAAATAGTTTTTCAATATTTACTAAAGAAGAATTTTTTTTTCTATCTGCTAACTAAATCATTAAGTCTCTCTATCATAGATTAAAATATGCAAAAACAAAAAAAAAAAATTTTCTCATAGAGAAAAAGATTTTTTGAAAAAAAAAGAAAAAATGTGTATAGTTTCTTATTAACTCAGTATGGTGTGAAGTTATTTTTACATAATTTATTTATAAAAATTATATATATATATATATATATATATATATATATATATATATATACATAATATATGTAATAATAACATAATATATGTACATGAATATATACTTTTATATATATATATGCATATAAAGTTGACTAGTATGGCCAGTTACTTAACAAAGCATAAACAAGTAGGTAACTACTTGTTTTTTTTTAAAGTGAAAAGTAATTTTTATTTCCCTTTGAGTCTAAATTTTACTTGACATCAACATGACACAATTGTTAAAGTACATTAACTACTGCTTGGCGATTACTGTTTTAATGTTTTTATCACCATCTGGCAAACGATTGAGAATAATACTTTCATCTAATGAGTAAACCTCATATTTTTTTTCAAAATCGCTAAGCTACAAAGTTACTAAGTTACCTTTTGATCTGACGAATATAATGAATAAAAGTAAATAAAGTCAGAACGAATGAGATTTATTTTTTGTAATTTTCTGTGCTTTTTCTGAACAAGAGGTTTTCAAATGATCAAGTATTTTACTCCAATATTTTTTAAGAGCTCCATAAAATAAAACATTAAGAGGTTGCAATAAACAAAAACAAGTTTAAATATGAATGGCAGTACTTTCAAAATTTAATTTAACACAATATTGAATGTACATATATGATATATTTTTTTATAAGATTTAAAATTTATAAGTCGATATAGTTATATATACACTAATAAATTATTTATGTATATATATATATATATATATATATATATATATATATATATATATATATATATATATATATATATATATATATATATATATATATATATATATATATATATATATATATATATATATATATATATATATATATATATATATATATATATACATAATATATGTAATAATAACATAATATATGTACATGAATATATACTTTTATATATATATATGCATATAAAGTTGACTAGTATGGCCAGTTACTTAACAAAGCATAAACAAGTAGGTAACTACTTATTACATTAACTAAAGATTTTGGTTAAGGCTTAGTTAAGTAAAAGTTTATGTTTTTTAGGATAAGTAAACTTCAAAAAAAAATTCATCCTTTTTCTTTTTGTATACATAAATAGTTCCTGTCCAAATTCTTATTACCAGTTAATGTATGTACTGAAGCTTTTGACTATTGCTGCTTCAGCATGACATCATCAGTGACATTTTGTCTATTTACTAACATATACACAGACACACAAACATGCACACTAACATTTTAAAAATGGTTTCAAATACAATTTTTTTTTGCCTTCTTAAAACATATATTTACTTGATACAGGTTGTATCATTGTTAAATGAACTAATTTACCTGATACAGGTTGTATCATTGTTTGATGCACTTGAAAAAGTCCGTGGAGGGCAATCGCCACAATTTGTTTGATGATTTTTATTGCAGTACTGAACAACTCTTTTTCCAGGAGGACATAAATGGCATGGTTCCATATTTTGAATTTTATTAAATATATATATGATCTGGCAAAAAGCATAAAAAAGCAAAGCATATACAAAATATTCAAGTAATATCTTATTTTTAATAAATATTATGTTTTGAACAATAATAACAATTCATGTTATTTTATTACAAAACTAATGCAAGCATTTATTGCTGACCTATGCTATTTATAATTTAAGCAGAATTAAATTTAAAAAAATTTAAATAAAACAAAATAAAAATAATAGCAATGTTTAATAAATGATTAAATAATTTTATAATCTTTAAAAAAAACATTTTTGTTAAAGCAAAAATTTAAATGATAAAAAAGAAAAAAGTACAATAAACAGCTAATCGAATTATCTCATAACCTAAACTTGGATAAAACAACATGTACAATATCTTCAAAAATATGCTAAATCAACAAACAACTCATTTACAACATGAAACTTTTGCAACAAAAATGATTGACATTTATTTTACATAAGATGACAAAGTCAACAAAATGATTGTTTTTTTTTATAAAAACACTTATATAAAATAATCTTGCAGTATTTTAATTGAAAACGGGAAAAGTTACTTTACAAACAAATAATTATGGACAAATACTAACAAGAAAGTATATATATATATATTCAAAATTCACTTATAAAAAAATATTTTCTATAAAATAGTAAGCAACAATATTTTAGCAATGTCTAAATAAATGTAAATACGATCGGTTCCACCGGATCGGATCAACAGATATCGTCCTTTGTTATAAATATTGTCAAACATTCGGCGTGATGACGAACTTGCATAAATAAATATAACAAGACAACACAAACAATTCGGTAAATATGACTTCACTTTAATTTAAATATGAACTACACTATAATTTACACTATAATTATCTTATAATATTTTAAAATCAATTGCCTTTGTTTGTTAATTCAAAAACAAATTTTAAAAGTAGTTATTGCTCTAGCTATATATCGGCGTGTATGTTATATATATATATATATATATATATATATATATATATATATATATATATATATATATATATATATATATATATATATATATATATATATATATATATATATATATACATATATATATATATATATATATATATATATATATATATATATATATATATACATATATATATATATATATATATATATATATATATATATATATATATATATATATATATATATATATATATATATATATATATATATATATATATATATATATATATACATATATATATATATATATATATATATATATATATATATATATATATATATATATATATATATATATATATATATATATATATATATATATATATATATATATATATATATATATATATATATATATATATACTAACACACACACACAAACTTTTTTCAAACTTTTTTGTAATTATTGGAATATCTGATTTTGACAAATAAAAAATTCTGGATTTTCCTTTTCACATTTTTAGCCGATTGCATATTTACGGCATACGGTGTAATGCATATACTGTACGTTGCAAAAAAATCTTGATAAAAAATCTAAAAGTATTTAGTGACGTATGAAGCGAACAACATAATTTATATAATTTATTTTCCATATAATTTATTTAATTGCCGGTCGGCAGTAGTTGTTCAGGACTTGCAATAATTAAAACAGATTCTGCTTTAATTACAATAACGTAGAGCTGACGCCTTCAATAAAAAAAAACGCAAAATAAAACCAATGTTATCTATCTAATTAAAAGTGTTACTTACGTTAGTTAAATAACGTAATCCGTATTATTTTGAAATCCATTTTTAAAGTAACAATGACTTTATTTATAACAATCATTTATTGACAATATCAACATGACCGGAATATTTTTGGGAAAGTCCTAAACAGTATAGTAAATTCTTATTTCAAAAACAAACTAACTTTAAACGTTTCTTGCGTCAGTTACTTTTTTAGTTAAACCAGGTGCGTGACAGAATTTGAGAACTGTTTTTCTTTTTGTCTTCTTATAAATTTTAATATTTTTTTCCAGCTCAAAATATGTTCAAAAATCCTAAACCAGAGTTTAAAAGTTGAAAGGAAACCATATTTAATAATATTTAAATTTAACAAATGATTTTGATTTAACTAATTTTTTTTATATAAATAATAAATAAAATTTCGAAGTAGAAGCATATTCAAAAAAAAAAAAAAAAAATTAGCGGTATTCTTTGTAATGTCGATCTTTTAGGCTGACGTTGTCCAAGGCGGTCTACTGAGAATAATATTGTTGTACAAACCCGCATTGAAAGATTCTTAACAACATCAAGTTGTCACTGCTCCTACCAGACAAATAAATCATTTCTCCGACACATAATTTTTAACTGGTTTGAAATTATTTCTAACGAGCAACCTAATAGTAGTCCTCAATCGTCAGTGATTGAAACGGAACTCGTGGCAGCCATTACACCAGAGTTAATTGCGAGAAAGAGTCAGCATTTTAGTAGTAACAAAAATGTGAAAAAAATTGCAAGAAAGTATCTAACTTATGTAAACTTCAAACTATATAATCTCAAAAATTAAATCAAGTTTTACAGTTTTATTGTTACTAGGATTGTGGGAATATCTACTTAATTTTATTTATCGCATTTATTTGCTATTTTATAAAGTTAAGGTCTTTTATTTATCAAGTAGTGCTAAAATTTATTACAATAGCATGTCTTAGTGGTCGAATTGGTTAGCTCGCTGCGCTTTCGAAATAAGAGGCGGTGATTCAAATCCTGTCGCTTGCACGTTTAATTTTTTTTTTTTTAATCTTTTTCAATTTTCTAAAAGATAAAATAAAACATTTTTAAAGTTCAATTGATATTATATCGCGGCGTTAGAATTATCTTGTTCTATCTCCACATTTTTAAGTTTTGAGATAAAACGATTTAAAAAATAAAAACTTTAGGAGATGGCATATAAAAACAACTTTTTAACTTACGTTTTCTCCACAACTTTTATTGTATTGAAACTTAAGTTTCAATACAATAGAAAAACATTATTCTGAGGTACATAACCCTATCAATAACTCAATTTTTTTTTTAAAGTAGAGATAGAACAAGATAATTCTAACGTCACGATATACATAACATATATAAATATATTATATACTATAACAAACAAATGAAAAATTTGCCTGCGCCTTTAACACATATTAAAGAGACAACTTTCTTTTTATAGGAAAAACATTTTTACATTTTTAACTTTAATTTTCTTTAAAATTATTTTTCTAATACTATAAAATATTGAAGGAAGGAATTGAAGTATAGAAACGATCGGTGTAGAATAGATTTACCAAAACCCATATTTTACGGGTCCAGAAAAGCCAGAATATTTTTTATTATTTAATATACTTATTAATATTGTTTAAATTTTTCTCTTTTTAACTTGTTATTGGTGAACACTGTTTTTTTCGACCTTTAAAGTTTGTTGCGTTAATTTATAAACTGTTTACTTCTAAAACTTGAATGACTTTTACTTGAAGAAATTTAGTGATATTTTAATTGAGTTAAGTAGAGTTTTAACATTGTTATTAACGGAATTGTTTAATCAGTAAGTATTTTGGTAAAAGAATCCAATTAATTAACTTCTATTGCATTTTTCGAGTATTGTGTATTTCGAGTTTTTTGTATGTTTTGAGTATTGCGTGTTAATTAACTTTTCAAGTACTTTGAGCATTTTGAGTATTGTGTCTTAATTAATATTGCTTTTTTCGAGTATTGTGTTTAAGTTATCTTTAAGGGTCTATCAATTGAGTTTTGATTTGGGTTTCATATCGGGTTATAAATTTGTTCAATTTATCAGTTTTTTTGGCTGTTATAAATTTATCCAAAACTTCAGTTTTAACAAATTAATACTATTTTTCTTCTTTTAAATCAAATTTTGTTCATGACAAAAAAAAAATTGTTCATAACAAGCAAAAAAGATACTGAAAAATTGCTGTTTTGAGCAAGGTGTTCAGGTCTGATTTTTTAATTTTTTTTATCTTTAATTTATATGTATATTATACTTAGATATATAAGTACACACACTTAAATTAAACATTAACAATTAGTTAAAACATTTGCATATTTAAATTATTTATTTAAAGCTCTTTTTATAATATATATAGCAAACTATATTGTTTATTTTTGTAAAACATATCAAAAATTGATGAACTAATTTTATCCACTATTTAAAGTCATTTTGTATATAAGTAAGTTGTCTAATTTTGTTGTGCAGTGACACATAATTTAAACTTTTTTAGCTTATTATTTATGTGACAAAGCTAAACATATAAAAAAATAAATGTAAAAATATATATAAGTAAATAAATATGTACGAGTATAAATGTTAAAATATAACTATACAGTGGAAAGGTAAATGGGAAATTTACAAAGTAATAGAAGGTAAAAAAAAAAGATTATAAAAAAAGTTGTTTCAGTTTCATATTTTAAGCCATCTGTTAATCGTTATCTTGCTTTATAAACTTCGTTTTTTTCTCTTTCAGTAACTTCCAACTGTAATTATGGTTGTTTGCAGCCTTCTTGGAAATAAAAATTAAAAAAAAAAATCTTCAGTTTAAACACAATTAAATGCTATTTTGTAAACAATAATGTTATTGTTAAGAAACCTGATTTAGCCGCGTCACTATTTTAAGCAAATTAGTTTTTTCGTTTTTTAAGTAAATTGTTAGCTTTTGAACAAACCAGCTTTGCTTACTAATGTAAAATTTTAAAATTGAAGCACTTAGGAACAGTAAAAATAAAAGGATGAGACTTAATTGAGTAACACCAGAATGACTTTTAGTAGATGGCACAAGAGACGCCACCCATTCTAGTATTTATAGAAAAGAGAACGAGAAACAGCATTACGACGATGTGGCAATGGTAGAGGGTTGGCTGCAAGAGCAGGCACAACTATGTTTACAACGCGTTTTTACATCTTGTCTAAAAGAGAAAGGACATTATTCGAAGATACACTTTAGAGACAACAAATATTGTTTATCAATTCTGAAAAGAAAGATAAGTAATAAAAGACTTAAATTTTTAAACTAAAAAATATTAACTTATTTATTTTTAAATATTTTATGCAAAATTATAAATAACAAGTATTTAGAAGATTGTTAAAACAATTAAACAAATGTTTTTTATGCAGGGGGTAGAATGTTGCTGTGTTCTAGAAAATAAAAATAACTTTATTTACTAGAACATAGATACTTAAGTCTTATGTTGTTCCATATAAATATTTTAAGCCGATAGTGACGTTGTTCCAAAATGTTTGTCTAAGGAAAGATTCTAAGACAATATTTCAAATGTTGGCTAAGGAAAGATTCTCAGACTATATGTCGTCTGACTCGAAACAGCATTGTTTCGGAAGTGACTCAAGATAAACGGAGATAACAAAAAATAGCATGAAAAATTACATCTTTTGGTCAGAGCAAATAATTTTTTTAACTTTTTTATTTATACTTATACAACGTTGCATACTTTGTTTTTTAACACGGCAGAACTTGAAATAGATTGAAACTGAAATATTATTTTTGTTTCTTCTGCTAATGGTAAAATAACTTCATCCTTATTAAATAATACTTTTTAAATAATACAGTATTTCTAGGCTTATCTAAGATGTTAACATTTTAAAAAATGTTTTTGTTTTTCAAATCAAAGAAATTCCGCTGGAGTAAAACACGTCAGATTGATAAATTATGTTAGCAAATAAAACTGGATTTTGACTTCCGTAACTGCGCGCATTTAATTCAGTCCAAAAATCGTCTCATTTTCTTAACGCATCAAGTATTATTGTAATGCGTATTAGCAGTTTTTTAATTTGAACTTTTTCACACCATGTTTTATTGCTGGATTTTTTAAACGTTTTTTTATATGTTTTCTTATGTATAAATTTTTTTATTTTTGATTCTAATTTACTTGGAACATGGTAAACCAGCTTTCTCCAAAATTCCACTTTATTTTTTATTCACTTCTTTTACAGCCTAAATCCAAAACATTGCAATATTTTATTAAAGTCAGCATACACAACATAAAACATTTTTTGATTTCAAAACTATCTAGCCATCTTTAATAAGACATACATCATATATACAAACACTTCTGTACTTTTACACGCATAATTACATTAATTTTTTTCAATTTCCGGCAATTTGGTACAAAATTTACATTTGATTATAATCAGAAATCATTTAATAAGTTAAGGTTGTAGAAAAGGATGCTGTAGAAGTTCTTCCACTGACTGTCTTTCACGTTTATCATATTTTAGACAGACCTAAACAATTAAAAAATCAAAATCAATTTTTAAATATTTAATTAATGCTTAACTTTCTATAAAACCAAGCCTTGACATCATGCAATTAATGTTTCAAACAGGGGCGGCGCCAGCATTTTTTGGTCTTTGAGATAGCTAACTTCCAGATATAGAGCAAACTCCAAAGATGCTTTGCAAAAAATTGCGATGATTGGAGCTTGGGAATAAAATAAAAAACAAAATCCCCCCCCCCCGACGTGTGAGCAACAATTAATAAAATATTTTTTGTACTTTTTCCAACTAGACTTATATTCATCGATAAATTTTAAATTTCATAGTAAAATATTTTAGCGTTCAAAAATTATGACCATATAAAGGTTAAGCCCCCCTCAATCTAAGGGGTTTTTAAATTTTATATGGTCACAATTGAACGCTGAGAGATAATACTATGAAACATAAAATTTATTAATGAATAGCCATTAACCCTGTTAGCCATTTTATAGCTTGTTTTTTTGTTCACATACATATAAATAACGTGATTGTACAGAGCTTAAAAAGACTTAAAAAAATGAAGTAAAAATTCTTTAAAAATGAGAGGTCTTTTAGCTTTAGAAGTTAAGTGGATACGAGGTTATTTTATTTTTTGCGCTGAAAAACTGATTATATTTTGACAAAACGCCTCGTACTTTTGTATTGAAATTCGCCTGCGTAATGACACCGAATAAAATAAAATAAAATATCAGAAAGCGTCACTGCATTACGAATACAGAAAAACTTTATAACCGTAAAACTTTGGGGTAACTTTGGCCTTTTTAAATATTTTAAATAAACAACTTTAACTTTTAAACGGATAAGGGGTTGTCTATAAATTACGTCTTACGATTTCAGACCTCTCCCCTCCCACCTAGTAACAAATCGTCACGTTTTACTGACCCTTCCCCCTCTAAATTTACGCCACAAATTTGTACACCATTTCCTCTAAAAACTTTTGTTATGTTAAATACGAAAATAGGCCGGGTGAATAAAAAAAAACAATTGCTTTTACTTTTACTTTAGCAAATTCGCTAAAATTTTTATTCACGTAAAGCTGAGCAATTTACTTCAAAAACGCTGAATAATTGTTCAGTTTTACGTGAATAAAGACAGCCTTTTTTTTATTCCCCCGACCTATTATTTTAATTTTCTTAGCTGCTTATAGTTATCTAATAATTTAATACATAAATTTTAATTATTATCATTTAATATTACTTTGAAAGTCATTGTACACGCGTACAAATAATGACTTGTATTGTAATGATGTACGCGCATACAAAAAAAAAAGCCCACGAAAATACTAATGCAAAGAAACATTTGAATATTTAATTTTTTGTTGTAACAATACGTTGGAATAAAGCTGTGGATGATCAACTCCACTCCTACTTAGAGGCGCGGCTAACATGGGTCTTTTTAACACGACAACAGGACAAAGAAAACTCGTTTTTTTTGTGTGTGTGAAAATAGTACGATTTTTGTCATAATGATCAGTAAAAAACAAAAATAGACAAGGAATATACAAACACAATCGGATACTCTCAATAATGTTCTGAAATGTTTAGATTTTCTAGGGTGCAAATTTTTGGATTTTGATGTTTTTTGTATTTTAAGAGAAGCATTTTGTGTTTTGATGTATTTGAAAGTTATTTTATGTTTTATAAATAGTTAGGTAACTATTATACTTGTAAATATTCTTCTTGCATAAATTGTGAGGTGAAACTAGTTGCAAACGCTCTTCAATATAAAAGTAAATGAATAAAAACTAGGTAAAATACAACCAAAAAAGAAGAAACAAAATGTTGTCTGGGCGAAAATTAAAATTTGAGCGAGTTTTCCGTCTATTTACAAGAAAAATGTTCAAATAAGATATACATATTTTTTTGAGCTTAAATAAAAAAAAAAAATTATTTTGTTACAAGTGGTCAAAGTTACCCATAAAGTTTATAATTTTTTGCGGTAACTTTGACAACGTAGATAACACTCATTTTGAAGTAGCCTAGACCGTTTTTAAAAAAATGATGTATAAAAATATTTTATGATATTAAAAATTATTTATTTTAAAGCTCAACTGCTTTTTATTGTTGTTGTTGTTACTATAGTAAATATTTTAAAACTATTTATTTTTATTAATCTAATTACGAAAAGTTAATTAGTGTGCAATAAGTGACTAATGTAATAATTTTGAAATAATAAAAAAAAAACTAATAACAAACATAAAAAATAAATCGCTACAAATTTACTACGTCTTTCTGTTTCCGCCAAAAATATTTTGTAGAAGTTTTATGTTTGCCTTTTTGTTTTGTAGTTTTTATTTTCATTTAGTAGTTTTTGTATTTTGCATTTTTGTTTGCGTAAAGTTTGTTTTTATTTGTACATTTGTTACTAATTACTTTTATTGCTGTCCGCTGTTGTTATTAATTGAGTGTTCGCTGTTGTCATTAATTGAGTGTTTTTTTTTTTTTTTTTTTGTTATATTATTTATTATAGCTCAATCGTTATTTTTTTTTTATTAATTTAATTTACGCTTGCTTTTATTTATTAATATTTGTTTACTTTATTAATTTAAAATTTATTAATTTTTTGTTTGTTTATTTTATTTAGGTGTCACTCCAATAATTAGTTTTTAATTATATGAGTGACACCTAACCTAATTTTGTAAAATTATAAAAAAAAAATCTAATTTTTAATTTTTGGTTGAATAAATGGATAAAATAATAGTTATTATTATTATTATATCATTGTCATCTATAAACTGTAATTTATTTAAATATAGAAGTTAATAAATTGCATATTTATTTTTATAATTAAAAATTGTAGAGTTTGTTTGTGTTACTTATATTTACTTTTTTTTTAAATATACAATACATAATATTTGAAAACGTACCTACAACGTTTTTGTCTAACACCATTCTTTTGAAAACGTACCTACAAACATTTTGTCTAACACCATTCTTTTGAAAACGTACCTACAAACATTTTGTCTAACACCATTCTTTTGAAAACGTACCTACAAACATTTTGTCTAACACCATTCTTTTGAAAACGTACCTACAAACATTTTGTCTAACACCATTCTTTTGAAAACGTACCTACAAACATTTTGTCTAACACCATTCTTTTGAAAACGTACCTACAAACATTTTGTCTAACACCATTCTTTTGAAAACGTACCTACAAACATTTTGTCTAACACCATTCTTTTGAAAACGTACCTACAAACATTTTGTCTAACACCATTTTTTTGAAAACGTACCTACAAACATTTTGTCTAACACCATTCTTTTGAAAGACTGTATGGAAGAAATTTATAAAAGTAGGTCTACTTATGCATTGGTGCACCAACTACATCCACTAATGATGAGGAGCATTTATTTTTCAACTAGAATCATGGTTATGATTAATTGAGATTTCCTTTAGATAAAGTTGAGGTCAAAATATAATTTGGCTACGATAAACAAAGAACAATTAAAACTTTTTTATAAACACTAAGCATGAGCTTGAAGGAATTCCACCTTGTAATATTTGGAATTATGATGAAACTAATTTGCATGATGACCCTAGATATAAAAAAGTTGTCATGAAATGTGAATATAAGTATCCTGAGAGAATAATGAACAGCTGTAGGATTGAGCTCTCTGTAATATTTTGTGGAAAAAATGTAAGATAAATTTTGCCACCATACAATGTTTTCTGAATGCTGTTATGCTTCATGTTTATTATGTCACTGTGTTTTGAACAATGTTTATTATAAAATAGAAATTCTTCTGAAAATTCAAATTACTGAAAAATATAATCATCTTTTCAACAGTTATATTTTATAACTTTTTATTATTGTGATAATATTATTGTTTGTTGGCATTTCTTAAAAGAAAAAATTATATAAGCAAGACCTTATATAGCAATTTTTTGACATGAGTTCGGTTTTTAGGGAATCTTGCTTGATGTCAAGGCCTTTTATTATAAATAGCTAAAATCTATATTCAAATGTAATACTACATTAAACGTTACAAAAAAAAGACAAATTTTTATTATATTTTTAAAAATATTTGAGTTTATCAAGAGAATCAAATAAAAATAAAGCAACCATTATTTATCAAGAGAATCGAATAAAATAAAGCTACCATTATTTATCAAGAGAATTAAATAAAAATAAAGCTACCATTATTTATCAAGAGAATTAAATAAAAATAAAGTTACCATTATTTATCAATAGAATTAATTAAAAATAAAGCTACCATTATTTATCAAGAGAATTAAATAAAAAATATAGCTACCTTTAAGCAGTGTAAAAGGTTTTGATCTCGTATTCCTGAAAAATTTATTTCTTCACCTCGTTGTATGGCTAACATTTTTGCATTTTGGTTTCGAATATGCTGGTAAGGTGTTTTCTTAAATACCATCATATAAAGTATACATCCCAAACTCCAAACATCGGATTCACAAGATATCTATGAGTGACATTCATTTGATATATAAGAAAATAAAACTTTAAAATTATTTGAAAATACATGTTTATATAATAGAAATTATAAAAACTAAGGTTTATGTTTATATGATAGAGCCTAAAATATAAAAAGTCCTATAGAATTTCTATAAACTTTAAAAGGATTTAAACTTTAGTAAATCTAATAGAACTTTTATAAAAACTGTTTTACTTTTTATGAAAACTAATCTTATTAAGTTTACAAAATTCAAATCAAATACAAAAAAAACTTTATTTGGGGATTCAGATTCAAACACTGTACTTAGCATGGTAGCTGTACCTCTACCATGTGATTGGACTTTATTGTGCACACATTCGTGAATTGCTGCCTTAAGAATATTTTATGCCTCTGAAGTTTTACTGAGTAATACTTTGCTTTTTTTGATTTGTTTTACTGCATGTTGAATTGCTGTGTAAGTTGTTAGCGTTTTACAAATGTAAGAACAAGATATTTTTGTTTTAAAATTTTTCAGAGATTTTAAAGATTTTTAAAGATTTTTGTTTTTTTTTGTTAAACTTTTAGTAATACTAACTTCTGTAATACTTGTAATACTAACTTCTGTAATACTTGTAATGCAAACTTCTGTAATACTTGTAATGCAAACTTCTGTAATACTTGTAATACAAACTTCTGTAATACTTGTAATGCAAACTTCTGTAATACTTGTAATACAAACTTCTGTAACCCTGTAATACTAACTTCTGTAATACTAACTTCTGTAAATATTTATTTTTAATAGTTTCTTTAAAATTCTGTTGCATTTTCTGTGAATCTCTAACAGATGCCTTATATTGAATATTACTACCTTGGTCTGAAACTCTTGCTGATTTAGACTCCTTTAAATCAGCAAGAGTTTTAGGATATTCTGATATATTGGAAGCAATTTCAGATTCTACATTTTTATTTAAAGAAAAAAGACTACATGCACTACTGCTTGTGGTATTTTATAAAATCTTTTATCTTCATTTGCCAACCAGATACCATCTTTTGAGCATGTTCCTTATGGTATTTCAAAAGGTTATCATATTTTTTAATTAAAGGTAACTTGAAAACACTGAAAACATTCAAGACATGCAACAACTGAAAGCAAAAACAGATAATACACCAAATATTTAAATCTGTATCCTGGGTGAGGTTTTTGTAAAGGAAAGGGAAAAAAGTACTATATATCTCATATTGGCAATATTGCTCATCATGTAGTGCTAGGGCTGTGTTAAAATTTAAAAACAAAAGAAAATGTCATAATAATAATTACCCAAAGCACAATAATTTATTTATTTTTTAATTATATGTCAGATGATGGTTCAAAAATTAATATTCATTTATTTTTAAAATTTTCCAATGCGTTTTTCTGCAATTTTTTGCATGATTAATAATAGATTCTTAAACTATTTTACACCATTTATGTGAGGCAACTTTTTTTTTTCGTGTTTGAATTAAAAAAATGTTCTTCAATTTTTCTGTTTTTCCAATGGAATTTTGCTTTTTTCATACAGCACTTGCTTGCAGTTTGCAGATAACCACAGATATTTTTGTTAACTGGGTCATGCAATATATCTCATCTTTTAAAGTACTTTAGTGCTGTGTTTTGTTTGCTAATAATTGACACTTAATTTTTTTTTTACGAAATTTGGGACCGCAAATTTTGTAAAAAAATTATTTTTGACCAAAAATAATGCAGAATAAAAACTTGAAGCTAAAAAAAAAATTATTTATTATAAGGTGTTCGTAAAAGATATTTACTACATTTTTATTCAATATGTTCTTCCTCATCATCAATCACAACTTCAAGACAACTCCTGAACCAGGAACAGGTGGTCTGGATATAGTCCTTGGGCATCTTGTTTCACTTCTTCTTGATGGCAGCCTTCAGGGAGATGACGCTGTTGTGGGGATATTGACAAGCCCTTGCCATTACATACACCCAATTGAATAGTCAAGAGGTGACAAACCTAAAGAGATCCAGGCGGCCAAAACACTCTTGACTACTTTTTGGCAGGTTTGAACTGACCTCTTTAAACCATTGCCAAGCTTCCTCTTAACACTTCCATTCATTTGAAAATGCTTAACCACAGTGTAGACAGTGATTAGAGGCTTGTTTAGCATTATGGAAATGTCTTTGGGCGTGGTGCCATTCATGGCCAGGTCAACAATTGGTTTATTTTTACTACTCATTTTCACTTTTTGGCTGTTTTTAGTTTTATTTTCATTTTTAAAATCTTATGTGACAACAAAAACAAAAACTATGTGCATAATAATAACAACAGAACATTTATTTTGAAATTACCAAACTTATAATGAGATATACGGTTGCATACGGTATAAAGTAAATGTAAGCTTTTAGAAAGGTCTTAAAAATGATGATTTGAAGTCAGGATTTCAAATAATTATTCCTGACAAATATTTTTCAGCATTACCTTTAAGATATATGTAACTCAAATGGCAATGTATTTTTTTAGGTTTAAAATATTCAACTTTGTTTCTGTTATATTTGTTATCATTTTTGGCTTGATGATACGAGTAAATGTTTTTACCAGTTCAATTTGTTCGTCATAAATTCGATAGACTAACGGTTCTTTTTGTTCAAAAGTTAATATGAATGATTTAAAAATAGGAAGAATTTCAAGGTACAATTTTTTATAAAGTTTTGTTTTACTATGTCGGAAAAATAAACTTTTAACAATTCTAGTTTTTCTTTATGCACATTGTTTTGTTTCTGCTTTTTTTTTTGCTGCATTTTACATTTTATTTTTTCTATTAGTTTTTTACTTTCATTTAAAAGCCTTTTTTTAAATTTTGACACTTTTATTTTTATACAGAGAGATGTTCCTGTTTTAATAACCAAAAAGAATAAATTAAATTGAAAGCAGACATCACCTCAAGCAAAAGAATGCAATCTAAAGCAGACCAATCAGAAACCCTTGGCTTCGAATTGTTGTATGTGACCACTGTGATATGACAAATTTTTTTCAGAAATGTACGAAGATCTTGGCTAAACTTAAAACCAATGTAGACATCATCAAATAAATTTTTAACTATCTTGCCAAAAGAAAAAGTAAACTTTTTAACAACAAAGTTTTGTCAAAAACTGATTTCTGTAAACTTTAAAAAAATGAAATCTTTTGAAAGTGATGTGCACATGGTAGCAAATACCATCATCATATATAATCTTGTTTCAAACCCACTGATTCTGATTTTTCCCCTCATAAAGGTAGAACCTGATAAATTGAAAATGTCTTTAATGGAATTGCGTCCTTATTAAATAATTGAATAACAGCATCAAAAAGATGTTCAGTGTTTACCATAACAAGCAATAACGATGCATAGTCTTTTAATATTAACTTTATTATTTAAAATGCAACAGGTATATTAAGAACTTTTTCATATTAAAAAAAAAGCTCAGCATGGAAAGCTTCACTTATTCCTTCTCGCAGCTTATATAAAGCAGTTGTTATAAACATTTTCAAATTTTTTGAAACATGATGATCTTTAGACATTTCTTTTGCGTATTAAACCATATGGGATGTTAAAGATATCAGAAGATTATGTTCACAAATAAATCCTATAGCTTCTACATTTGATGTCGGGTCTTTAAAACTTACAATAGGTTTAATGGTAGGCTTTAATCTATTTGTGCAAGTACTGCCAATATGCACGCTATCCAGAGTATGGTAATATATACATGTATCTGCTTTTTTTAAATTAGTAAAAAATGATGTTGGTATAGTTTTGTTTGACATAATTGTTGTGCAGTTTTGACAATGTATTTTGACTTTGAGTGGCCAAGTAAAAATTTTTTCTTTACTTCCATAATAAAAGTCTTTACTAAATATTGTACATTGTAGTTAAAGCATTATATCAAATAATATATAAATATGGTGAAATTATACTTAGAGATTATACTTACCACTCCAGGTTTATCTATCTTTCTTATATATGATCTTTGTTATTATCTTTCTCTTTCTCCAATTCCAGCGAAAGTTGTTTTTAATATTTTTATCTCATAAATGCCGCATAAACTCTTAACTTCCATTATATAATTTTTTCTTCTTGTTTGTAGTAATTAACATCAAAAATTTTTGTAAACTTTTAAAATGCAATTTACAATTAACTTATTACAAAAATGAACTTCTAATATTCGAATAAGTTAATTTGAATGAATTCAAAAGAAAGAAAAAAAAATTATTGCAAAAATTAATCTTGTGAAAATTTCAGTTATAGAAAACATATTTGCTATAATGCAAACATTGTCATATTTAAAATTTTATATAATTTTTTCACAAGTTAATAGTAAAAAACATTTTCGGAAGCTTAAAGAAGTTTTAAGTGAATTTCAGAAATATTAAAACTAATAAAAAGGGGATAAAACTAATCTATTATATATTATTATTATTTGTTCTGATTACTAAGGAACAGCTTGCACAATGAAAGATTTGACAATGAGGTATTTCAACAATGAGGTATTCCAACAATGAGGTATTCCAACAGCACCTCGATTGCTTGTTTAATTCAAAGCCTAAAATCTTCTATTCCAACAACATTTGTTCTAAGCCTTAACATTGGTACATATATTGTTGAAGTTATGGAACTAAAAAAATGTATATACTTTGATCGGTACAACAGGCTATTGTCTGCACCTGCCTCAACATCTGCGTTAAACAGTTTATATGGACAAAAAAAAACTTTCAAAATATTAATTTTTCTTTAAAAAATATTAAACATATTAATGTTCATTAAGTTGGGTCGCATTTTAAGTATGTAAACAAAAAAAGTAAAAACACAACTTAGCGTATCTAAAATAAAAAAGTGTTTTACATTAGTTAACTAAACAAACATATTACATAACTACACAATAAGCACGAAAAGCAAAAAGATGTTTTCTTACTAATAAATTTTTGTAAAAAATATTAAGGTAAAAAAATTTTGTTATTGAAGATCTTTTTCACTCTTTTTATTTTAATTGTTTTTTAATAACATCAAGAAGTTTAAATGACTTGTATAAGGAATTTATTGTCTAATAAATAATATTAAACTAAGTCTTTGTTCAAAACAACTTAGCTTTAGTTCAAAAGCAGTCAGCAGATAAAAGATTTTAGGTATAAAGGGTTTAAGTTTATTAAAGTCTACTATCTAAGGCCTACTGTTATTATGGTACCTACCTAAGGTCTACTGTTAAGGTTATAAGTTGATGTGTTTGTTAAAAAGACTAATGTAAACCTACCTAATTGTATAGATTAATTCTGTGTTAAGATCAAAGCTATCAAAATGTAGAAATTATGCAACTGAAATAATTATTTTCAAATTAATGAACTATTAAATATATTTTATTGAAACTATCATTTATTTACCAATTATAAATTTATCAAAAAAAAAGAAGATAATAATCAATTATAAAATGAAATAAATCAAGGATCAATAATAACTATTATAATTAATGCTAATTAATTAATATCAACAATGATACAAAAATAACTATGAGCTCTAAGAAGCTTGTTTAAAATATGCATTAGTGCAAAAGATTTGCCTATTAAAACTAAAGCAATAATTTCTCATAGTAAATAAACATGAAAGTGATAAATGTAAAAAAAAATTTGGAAAACTGGGTTTAGACCTTATTAACAAGTTGTCAAACTATAATTAACACTTAATTAATACTAATTAAGTATAATTAACACTTAATTGATACTAATTAAATATAATTATCACTTAATTAATACTAATTTATTATCACTTAATAAAGCACTTAAATACTAATTAATTATAATTAACACTTAATACTAATTAATTGTAATTATTATTTAATACTAATTAATTTTAATTAACACTTAATACTAATTAATTATAATTAACACTTAATACTAATTAATTATAATTACCACTTAATAATAATTAATTATAATTAACATTTAATACCAACCCTCAGACGTAGGAAAAATGAGGTCAGCAATAATTCGCCAACCTCAATCTTTTTGAGGTCAGCATAAGGTCAGCATAAATTATTTGATACAAAGGTCTGACCATAAAACATAGAAACAAGGTCGGCAATTTAAGCCGACCTTAAGCACTTTCAGGTTGGCAGTTAGGTTGGCATTGCCGACCCTAATTTCGAGGGTTGTAATACTAATTAATTTTAATTAACAGTTAATACTAATAATGACTTATTAATTTGAATTAACACTTAATTAATAACAATAAGTTATAATTAACACTTATCAATCAAAAATTTATTACATAAATAAAGGATTATATATAAAAAAATAGATATAGTTAAACCTTTGCAGCACCATTAACATGGTTGATGTCAGGATTAAGAGCCTCAGGTGGCATGTAATTTAATGTTCCCATCAGTAACTCTCTAGTTATACTTGTTTTATTTGCCTAAAAATAAAAAAAAATAAAAAATTTAATTCTTAAAATCATTTAAAACATTTTATATTTATTTAAAAAACACAACTCACCTGAATCCCATTGGCTATCCCAAAGTCAATGAGCTTGAGTTTATCACCAACAAGCAAAAAATTTGCAGGTTTTAGGTCAGCATGGACAACACCAACACGATGAATTGCAAGGACTGCAGATAGCATTTGTTTCCAGAAATCTTTCAACTTTTCAATAGATAAAAATTTTTCAGTCCGAAGTATATTTCCAAGATCTGTATCACCTTTTTCCATTACAATTAATAACGAACTATTTGTATTTTCCCTATAAAAATAAATTCATATAAAAAATGAAAATAAACATATAACAGGCCTAGAATACACAAATAAAAAAATACCAATCAAAGATTCGTATAATATGAGGACTATCTTTGAACTTTTCCAACCATTTTATTTCACTTAAGTAAAGATCTAATGTACAGGAATCAAGTTCTTCGAAGTTCACTCTTTTTAAAGCAAATGTCTCGCCAGTTTCACTTTGTACTTCAAAAACCTAAACACAGTTTAGCAAACTAAGTAAAATTTCAAAAAAATGATTAAAACTCATACATAAAAAAAAAAAAAACTTACTTTGCAAGAACCACCTTTTCCTATAAATGAAATTCTTTTGTAGCATTTTCCATTCACAAAAAAATCTTTGCTAATGAGCTTTTTTTGTTCACCTGAAACTTCTGTTTTTTTTTTAGGAGATAGACTTGCAGACTTAAGTGAAATGTTGGATATTTGTTTTGGTATTTGGTTCTCTTTATTATTAAGTTTATACATATCGTTATTTTCTATTTCTAAAACTTTTTGTAGCTGATGTTCAATTGGAATACTTTCACTGAGCTTGAAACAAGATTCTGGTTGGTTATTTGCTATATTCAAAACTAAAGAAGACAAGGAAGAAGAAGATACTATATCAAAATTACTATTTTCATGTAAAACTGATAACGGGGCTCTTTGATTGAGGTGATTCAAATATTGAATAGATTCTTTAGTACAAACTAAATTAACATTTTTTGCATCTTCAGTAAGTGTCTGTTTATTGCAAGCTAAAACACTGCAGGAAGAAGATACTATATCAAAATTACTATTTTCATGTAAAACTGGTAATAGGACTCTTTCATTGCAATGATCCAAATTTTGAATAGATTCTTTAGAACAAACTAAATTTTCATTTTTTGCATCTTTAGTAAGTGTCTGTTCATTACAAACTAAACCACTGCAGGAAGATACTATATCAAAATTACTATTTTCATGTAAAACTGGTAATGGGACTCTTTCATTGCAATGATCCAAATTTTGAATAGATTCTTTAATACAAACTATATTTTTATTTTTTGCATCTTCAGTAAGTGTCTGTTCATTGCAAACTAAACCACTGCATGCAATAGAACGTCGCATTAACAACTTGTTTTTTGAATGATGGACATTGTTATTTTCAAGTTTATTAGTTTCATGAGTAGATATTCGGCATTCAGATGGTAAGCTTGAGTTTTCAGTCTGCTCAGAGCATTTTGTGTTTATTGTAATGGGTGCTTCGAAAACTAAATTATTAGTAGATTGGCTACAATTAAAAAGATCATATGGTGTACTCTCTATAATTTTAGCAGTTGAAGATTGAAATTCGAAAAGTTTTGATGAGTCTCTTTCAAAAAAAGGTGATAAACTTGGACCATGTCTTCTTGTATGCTTATGATCATCAGAACTCAATTTTGACAAGTCATGCCTTTTAAAATTATTGGATGGGCTATTGGTTCCTTTAATCAAAGCAGAGGTTGATTGTGTTTTTTGTACTGACCTAACTGGTAATCGAGTAGGAAATGAAGATAAACTTTTAGACGAATAAAATAAATGTGAATCTAAAATGATTGATTAAGAAATTTTCATTTGAAATAAAACAAAACAAATTATTTTATTCGTAATATTGTTCTATTACTATATATTATATTTATTTATATCTATTTATCAATTATATATTATTCAGAAATAAATAAATACAAATACTTTAAGAATAATGGAGAGAAGCATTAGGCTTTTCTTTGAAGACAATGGGGTAACAGAACAAAGATGACTCAACATTGTTTTGATTAAGTTAGTTCTAATAGGCCACTAGCCTGTTTAAAAAAAATTGATCATTCACAAAAGAATTGTTTTTCTATTCAATACTTGGGACATCAAATTATAAACAATTAGACTGGAAAAAAATACTTGAGAAATTAAAAAATCAATTACATTTAAATTATGAGAGATTTTCCATCACTCATTGCTTTGTTTTTTTCAAATTGTTGTTATTACAGCGTACTTCTAAATGCATTCAATCGTAATAAAGTCAAATAATGTTTATAAAGTAAACTTTTTATTGAAGGAATTATTCTGGTTAGACTGTATTTTTAGAATGTCAGACTATATAAACAGTGACCAATGCATTGCAAACTTAAAATGGAATCTATAGCAAAGATACAGTATTTGTCATAAACCTGAGTTGCAAAAAACAACCAAGTATTTGATTTGCTGATAATAGGAAGCTATTGTTACCAAATCGATATTTAACTTGTACCTTTTTTTTAGATTATCATAGTTACCATAACTTCAAGATCTTACTGTACTTTAATAATTGTGCTTTGGTCTGTTTGAACCATCTACCTGCTCCTTATTATGAACCTGTAATAGAATTTTATGCAGTTGACCAACATTATTTACACTTACAAATATTAAAGTGCATCAACTTTTTAAATTACCACTAAACTGCTCAGCCAATATCAGCCAACAATGTGACAATGCTTTGTTCTCATTTAACAACTCCAATAAGAGCTTAAAGTGGTGAACAATAATCTCAGCCATGTCATTGTTATGTAACATGAAAAGAAAGACAGAACCTTGAAGGACACTGTGTAAGACATTTCATCATTTAAAAATATGACCATTGATAACTACATGTAACAGTAGGGGTAGGCAATACCGGATTTTCACATAGTTAAAATTCTACTATTTATCAGATTGGATTTAAATGCATATCCAATTATCTGGATATCTGTTTAAATCAGATGTATACAAATCCAAAACAAATTAAACATCAAAAACATCTATACATCTAGTCACCTGGGTGTAAAATATTCAAGCAACACACATCTGCAATGCAGTTTTAAAAAGTTTAAAATGTTTGTTTCTCTTAACAAAGATAAACTAAACACTTTATTTTAACCATAGTTAATAAATGAAGCATTAAAAAATTTTTTTTTTTATCATCTAGAAAGCAATTTTTACTTTGAACACATATTATTTACTAAATTAACTAATATCAAATAATTAAAAAAATATATATATATATAAAATATTCTAAAAGTGTAAAAAACTACATTTTTAAGAACATATCTGTAAAGAGTTCTATTTACAACTTCATAAGTTTATTTGGCGTCAATGTTTTAAAAATTTCCATTTATTTTCGACATTTGTTTCTTGCCTTTTGGGCCAATATCCTTTTTAAAATGTCTAAGTAGCTATTTTCAAAGCCACATGTGTTTTAAAAACACATGTTAGCACGAATAACAGTTTTAATATCTTAATAGTTTTAATACTCTATAGTTATTATTAAGACAGACATTTAGATAAAATAAATACTGAGATATTGTATTTACTAATAACTAAATAGTGAACTTTTTTTAATATTATTAATGATAAAATAAATTATGAAAACTTCTTTAAAGATATTATTTGTTATTAATGAATATTTAATTCTGTTATGATTATGAACATTTACAAACGAGCGCACAAAAAGCAAAAAATTAAATTCATTCTAGGTCAATATTTCTTACCAATGTTGCTTGGGCTTGAGCCAGCGCTGAACCTCAAACTTTTTGATACTGAACCAAAACTATAACTACTGAGCCAAGGTCACACATTCTGATAAGACTATTCGCTCAGATCAATTCTTCATACTTATAAAATTCTTACTTTTTTAAAAAGTATTAAATACTAGGTTAGAACTGGATATCCAATTTTTTAAAAATTCATGATACAAAGCCGGATTTATAGAAAAAAAAAACAGATCAGATAACAGGTCTGCTTTTTTCAGATCAGATATCCAAATTTTAAGATTTTATATATTGGATACTGGGATATTCAGATATTTTTGCCCCACCCCTATGTAGCAGTACATGCAACATTAATGTGTATTATTTTGTATGTAGCAGTACATGCAACATTAATGTGTATTATTTTGTATGTAGCAGTACATGCAACATTAATGTGTATTATTTTGTATGTAGCAGTACATGCAACATTAATGTGTATTATTTTGTATGTAGCAGTACATGCAACATTAATGTGTATTATTTTGTATGTAGCAGTACATGCAACATTAATGTGTATTATTTTGTATGTAGCAGTACATGCAACATTATATATATTGTGTGCAATTAAAGCTGTAGTTTTTATTATTTATTCATTTAATTATATTATCAAAATAAAAATATCAATCATAATTAATGTTGTAAATAATAATACATTTGTTTAAATTTATTTAATTATTATATTATTTAATTAGTAAACTTGGTTTGATAAAAACCTTGATTCTCTGGAGAAGCTTTAGATGTAGTAAAAGTAGCTGTATCTGTCATATCACATAACGCTTCATCCCATGGATCATTAATCCCCTCAAATAAATTTGCATTATTGTTTTTTATGTTTCGATATGCTTGAGTCAAAAGAACCTTTGGTATTCGACCATCACATTTTCCCTTAACAATAATATTTCGAGCATTATCTTTATTGTGTCTATATTCAAATTGAGCATAGTAAACACAAACTACAGCACATTCGTCGTCTAAAGAATTCACATTAAGAAATGTTTTTCGGGCAATTTCTGGAGCAATATCACTAAAATAAAAGAAATAAACTGAGTGCAGTAGAAAAACAAATTTTTTATATGTATAATGTGTTATAATATAATGTATGTATAATAATATGTAAATTACTTTTAAAACAATATTTTTTATTATTGGAAGGAATTTTTTGTTGCTTTTATTTTATTGATTTGAATCTAAAATGTTAATAGAATGAAGAACAGAAGTCTTTCAAGACCTCGTTGAAAAGAACAAATAGAACATCAAAGGATTCAAGCAAAATTTTTTACTAAATAAGGGTAGCAAACAAACATCCTCCGATCCCCTAAATGCCATTGTTTCATTTAAAATAATTCGAAAAGAGCATATTGCAACAAAAGCTTTTTTTTTAACATTCTATTCCAACCAAATTCTATTCTGTTGAAAAAAAGCTTTGCTTTAAAGTCCTCGATGTTCTACTTGACAAGAACTAGAAAGACTTAAGCATTCTATTAACGTTTTAGATTCAAATTAATAAAATTAAAGCAACAACAAAATAATAATAGAAAATATTATTTTAAAAGTAATATAATGAAATCAAATCAAAAAAGATTTTCTTGTAATTTGAGAAACCCCAAGGAAAACATCGATAGTGCAAATTTTTAGTACCTATTATGTTTGTAAAAAAATGTTTGCTTTTGTATTTGTAAAATAAGTTTTTTATTTATAAATTAAAAAGTATATACATATATAAAAGTTTATGTAAATTATATATTCCATTTTTAGGTATTAAAAAATACATGTTTTTTTATAAGAATTTGTTTAAGAACTAGTAGTCTCAAAAAAATAAAAGTCTAAAAACCTTAAGAAACTTTTAAATTTTTTTTTCAATTAGAAACTTATTTTATAAAAAGTACAAGGTATATTACCTAAATTTTCACCTACATATCACATCAACATAAGACAAAGTTTTTTTTTTTTATTGTTTAAAATTTCAATACTCAAGATTTCTTTATCACCGTCAGAAACACACATATCATTCCTAATGATATGTACAATACAATATCTATATCATCTATATACATTTTTCTTTCAGTTTTTTGTTCCATCCAGGAATACCATTTTTTTGGAGGTATTTTATGTGACAGTGGACAAATACATTGTGAATTCTCTTGTACACTGATATCAACACATTTACAAGTACATATATCAAATGCAGTCTGTAATGATTTCAAACAGTCTTGGTAAGTGATGGAGCCTTCTTAGTACTGGCATATTTACCAAGACCCTTAACTTTATCAATCAAATTCTTTATACGGTTGACTAAACTCTTTTCATAAGTTGCTTGGATACTCACTGTTTTGTAGACTTAAATTTTCCTGTGCTACAGCTCTCTTCTGCATACAATTATATTTTTTGTGCTTCATACAGTCTGTAAACATCACTAGTTGATTTTTTTCATAACTGCAAGGCTGACCCAGAAGTGTCAAAACTCTTTTGCTGACAGACACTATTTCTAAATACTCAATACAATGGAATTATCTACAATGAAAAACAATAGTTTAATTGAGTATTTATTTTGCACACAAATGGAATTCCAGGTCAGGTTGATATTTCTGACCAAGAAATAGTGTGCAACCTCATGCCAAGAACAGCGTGCGTACTAAAATGATAAAACTCATCTTGACCACCGTTTTTTAAATGTTTAGAGAATATTTCAAAAATGTGTAAAAAAAAAAAAAAAAATTAACTTTACAAACAAGAGACAATCACAAATAAAAACTTACTAAAAAAATTGCTTTCGCTTTCAACAAGATAAGACGTGTTTGATTGAAATTTTTTTACAAAAGCTTATTAATACCTGTAATATATACACAAAAACTGCATAAAATTGAATGCTGACAAAACCGAGTTCATACTTACCGGAAAAAAGCAAATTAAAAACCGCACAATATCGAACAAATAAAACTTCACGATAAATTAAGTCATCTAGGCTTTATATGGGACACCTTTCCTAAATCCGGGCAGTAATCCAAACTTTAATTCAATCTGGAATCTGTTTTGTTCACCCAAATTCCTTTGTCCAGTTATATAAAACTTTGGTTGTTCCACTACCTTATGGTCTAAGCTTTGTGAACATAAAAAAATATTAATGCAAAAGCTTGATATAGTTGGAAGAAACGCACTGAAGTCACTCCTTAACGTTTTAAAACATTGCATAAATTTTATTCATCCCTTATTTTTTATTGAGTATGTATCAATAATTACACAACAAAACAAGCTAAACTTATTTATTCACCTGAAGAGCAATAAAATGACATTTAATATTGTAAAGTAGCAGCTGAAAAACAAAACAGCTTCAGAACCTTTTTTAGGTAGTGTCAAAGGTTTGTGCAATAGTCATGAACTAAATCTAGAGAAAATAATGCAAAGTAAAAAAAAAAATCATTGACTTAATAGATGTAATTCCTGAAACGGATCTTTAAACTCTAAAATGAGCAGTTGAGTTCTGGAACTCAAAGGAACAAAAAAACAATCTTCAAGGACATTTTTGAAAAAAAAAATTCCTAGATGATCATGTTTGAATGTAAATCTTGATAAAAAAAAAAAAAAAAATTAAGATTTTTTATTTATCCTGAACTAAACTTTAATTTAGCTTACTTGTATAGTGGGTTTTTAACTAATAAATAAAAATAAAAAAATAATTATATATATATATTTTATTTAAACTCCCCAACTAGACTATTATAAAAAAATAGCATGTTTTTGCAAACGTTAATGCTTAGCCATTTTCATGGTATGTGAAAGTCAATACTATCTTCACTTGAATACTCACTATCGTATTCGTTATCATCATAATCATCATCATCATCATTATCGATTGATAAGCAGCTGTGATTTTTTTGGCTTTTTTCATCAATGTTTTTTGTTTTTAAACATGAATGTTTTATCTTTTTAGAATTACGTTTAGCCAACTTATTCTGCAATTTTAAATTATAAGCAATAAATAAAAGCTTTGATGCTCTTGTATCGGTTAGGCGATTTCTTACTTTAGATTTTTGCAATGAAAACTCTTTGTTTGCACGCTCAACAGATGCAATGCTGCAGTTACAAGACAATAATATTAATGCAATTCTATTCAATAATGTTGTTGGTGCATATGCTTTCCACCATGTGACTGGATTACAATCTTCATTAAGCTTCCAAATATAGCTGCGATTATCCTGGCTAAATATTCCACTACAAGCTTTGAAACTCATTAATTCATCCAATATTATATCAGTGGCTAGTGTTTCATTTTCAGCTGTTCTGAATACATGCTGCTCAGCTAAAAGCATTTCTGAATGATTTAACTTTTGACCAATAAATCTTGGATCAAGTAAATTTGCTGCAAAGTATATTGGTCTTACAACAAAGTCTTCATGCTTTTTAATGCAAGTAATGATATCCTCTTTTTGATGTTAAGTCAAAAGTGTTGAGTTTTGCAACACATCAGATATCTCAGTTATTACATAAAAAAAGACTTATGGAACAATAGATACTGACGCTGCATCACTCTCTGATTCCAAAATGGCTTCTGATATAGTTTTCAGAAGTTTGAAAATTAAATCCGTCTTTTTCCAAAAGGTTTCATTCAATACTAATTCCTTTAAGTCAATTCCTGTTTTATTTTTATGTTTGTCAAGATACTTTTGTGCTTTTTCATCAGTTACTGCCAGTCGCAATGAATCACGGAGTAGAATATTGCGTTGTAACATATAAAATTGTGATGACCATCTGTTACTACAGGAAGAATTAAAATAAAACTTTTATTCAAGGAGTGTAGGCTACAACGCTCAACAATACTTTTTAGACTGTGCTTACTTTTAAAAAACTTAACTAGTTGTTTATTTTGCTTCAGTGTTTCCGAAATTATTTTGTTCTTATTTGCAAGATCACAAGCTAATAAATTTAGGCCATGAGAAAAACAGCCTTATGCTGACATCCAATCATATTTATTTTCTATTAATTTCCAAACTGCTACCATGTTAGCTGCATTGTCAGTGCAAAAAGCTTTTATTTTTCTTTTGTTTGATATAACATTTTTATCTTCAATAATCTCAACAATTTGATTGAATATGTATTGTCCAGTGTGGGAGTTTTTTTTTGGATGAATACTTCTGATGTATATTGGAGTTGGAGTAGCTAACATAATCTGTATATGTGAATCATTACTTATACAAGACCAACCATCTGTCATCAGAACAAAAGTTTCTGACTGGGATATTAAATCTTGTATGAATTTATTTACTTGGTTATATACTGTGTCTAAAAGATTATGACTCAGGGCATAACGATTGGGAGGTGACCAACCTGGTTGAATCTTTTTAAAAAAATTAGTCCAGAATGGATTTTCCGACATTCTGAAAGGGCTGGCTGTTGCATAAATTGCTCTTGCATATTGTATATTTATTTCATCACACTCTTGTGTTGAAACTTTATCAAAAAAATATGATATTGATTTTTGATTGCTAGTATATATAGAAGTTGAACAGAAAGCCTTTTTTTCTTCTAAAATATTTGATAAAGAACATTCTTGTAAATCAGAATGTAATTCGTTATTAGCCACATTCATTGTGGAACTGGTTCCTGACTTTCTCTTAAAGATGGCATAATTGTTGTCACAGCAATCAATAAAACAATCATTTTCTATTATTAAATCTGACACACCTGCATTATTTGTTGTATTTGTGTTGAGTTCAATTAAAGATTTAACTAATAATATTCCGTTTTTTGTTTTAGGAGCAAAACTTTGTTTCATAACATCTGTTGCAAACTTTTTTTTTACAGCTTTTGGAGATTTAGTACAATCTGTAACTAAATGTTTTTTAGCTCGTGTAGAGTTTTGTGTGCAAAATTTTGCATTGCAATATGTGCAAATAAATGCTGTTTTCCCATATTGACATTTTTTTTTTTTAAAGTGACCATTCCAGACTTGATCTAATTCTCTAGGCATAATTGTTGCTAAAAAAATTTTTACAGTACAAAAATAAATGAGAATAATTTAAAATGTAT